GTTCTAGTACTTAATAAAACATCAAATGCAATCACTTGGTCCAATAAAAAACAACTATCACTTGTCTCAATTAATTTTGCAATACTACAATCAAAACACTATTGCACTCACAAAACATGTTAAGTATTACATCCAATGATAATTGAGTGCAATGACACCCTTTATTGTCATAGGAAATAATAATTACTTTTATAAGAATAAAATAATAAAAAATAATTTTCTCTAGTTTTCTTCACAAAAATCCAATATTCTCATTTTATTTTTTATATTTCCTCTTCAAAAAGAACTTTGAGTCAGACTCTTACATCAAAGATACCACAAGTAGAGGAAATTATCAGCAGTTTATTAATATCATTCTTATCATAGACTCTAGTATGCAATAACATGCTTTATATAAGTATAAAATTAGTATTTATTAGTGTAAAAGATAATTTAGTTTTTAAATGTGAAAAATGCATGATTTAAAAAACTTAAAACAGCTCCATAATACTATAAAGATTTGAATAAAGAGAATGAAACTATATTGTTTTGATAGTTCAATAAAAATCCATGGTTGATCAAAAACTTTATTATAAACTAATTCTTCCTACTAGGCATCATTAAGAGTAGCTAAAAATAAATTCAGAGAGTAGTTTTTGTAAAATATTGTTTTCTATAAAAAATAAAAATAAAAATTCTCCTCAATTACCATTAGGTTTCAGCCCCATTCATTTACTTAGATCATAGGTGTCATACTATAAATGTAGCCATAAAAAATTGTTAGCATCAAAAGTTTGATAGTGACCATAAAATATAATTCACACATATAAATTTCAAATTGTGAATGACAATAATAAGTGACTTTTGGTTAGGGCATGTCATATGGCAGATTTTGGCAATCATTTCCATGCAATCAACATAACCTTCTTAATATATCAATATAAAAATATTTCAAGTATAATTCTGAAATATATAAATATGAACGTTAAAGATAACAAGTATAGGAGTTTATTTCATCAGCAGAAGTTAGTTAGAGTTGAATGGCCAATGGAAACCTTACTACCTCTTATCTCCTCAGCCTGCACAGCCACTTCCATATCCCTTCCATCTATGTGAATGCTGCAAGCTTGAGCATGGAGATTACCACTATGTCCTCATCTAGTGCACATCAGGACTAATAGTGTTGATCTCACTGGAATAACAAGGCAGAATCCACCATGGCAGCGCTTCTAGCGCTGGAGCATGATCTCAACAACAATGCCCTCTCAGGCAAGATCCCTCCACAAATCTTAGCCAAGATCAATCTGTTCCCCTAGATGTTGATAATTTTACACTCTTGGTCCATTATATATGAGGAAATTGGAGAAGCATTCATTTAATAGACTCCACCACCCAAAACAAGGCTGCACATTCGTTTTAGAGGCAATCTCAACTAGTGTGGGGTATCTAAAGAAAATAATAGATGCCAACAACAGGTTTGAAATGTGAGTAAGGGTTTGTAGAGCTATTGTTGGAGGTTGCTGACTTGGTATATTATAACAACATTGTTCTTGTCACTGGAGAACAGTGATTCCAATGTTGGCGGCTGGCAATGCGAGAGACAAATAGCACAATCTACAATCTCCACTCTTGAGCCACACTCAAGAGAATGTGATCACTAAGCAAGCCCTTTCAGTCGAGCATGTTGATTGGAAATAATTAACAAAATAAATTTAAGTTTAAGTTTTATTAGTGATCAAATGATACACATTATGCATCTAACCATTTGAGCATTGACTTGCTCTTATGAAAGCCAATATCATTATATGGGCAGAGAGATCAAGAGAAAACAACATTGATCCAAAACAGCAAACACTTCATTAGCCCCCCACCGGCTTAATAATCCAACAATGACCTATAAATGTCGTTTTACTATCTAGAGTAGCGAGCTAACAAAATATCCAGGTCCCCCTCGGCCGATGCCCTGAAGATCCGACACAAATCTTGGTTTTATTTACCCAGCCGACTATATACAGTTGGTTTAACGTGTATCGTGTTGAAGTTTGAGAAATTTGTTTGGGACAGTGGAATCAAATTCCAATCTAATAATAAAATGCATGTCCATGGGCCTCGCTACACGAAAGAATTGGAAAGTATCACGGCCAAGAGAGAAAATTATCACTCCTCCTCGATCTTTAGTTGATACAAAGGGCCAGCCGTCGGATTGGCTCCTCCGCGAATCCAGGCCGACAGACACATCCCTGGCCCCTTGGCGCCAAGAGAAGGCCACCACATTGGAATGGAAGCCTTCGTTCTCTACGAAGAAAGCATGTGAGCGTTGGCAACGAATATTCTCTCGTGGTTTGTCCTGGGTATATATTAGCTGTGAGGACCTCTCCCCCATTTTTCGTCTAGGGTTCTAGCTAGAAGCTCCAATGGCGATGGCGGGCGCCGGCGCCGCCTCTTATTTCTGTGGGCAAGCTGCTGCTACATTCTCGTCCGGATCGGGATCGTGCCGCTCCGCAGCGGTAATCGGCCGCAGGAATTCGTTTCGCGAGGTGATTTTCAGCTCCGGGAACAAGCATCGTATGGCATGCGCGGTTCTCGAGGCCAAGCGCGTACCGATCCCTTCAATTCCTTCGATCGAGGCCCCAAAGGAGGTTTCCAGCGGCGATGGAGCGATACCGGGTGTTCCAGAGCAAGGATCAACAGTGAGCATCACTGTTGTCGGTGCCTCCGGTGATCTAGCCAAGAAGAAAATTTTCCCCGCCCTGTTTGCACTTTTCTACGAAGGGTGCCTGCCACAGGTTTGTCCGTGTGTGGTTTCTTTTCCACATGACTGAAAGACCAATGTTTCTCAGCACTTCACGATTTTTGGATATGCTCGGAGCAAGATGAGCGATGCCGAGCTGAGAGCTATGATCAGTGCTACTTTGACATGCAGGATCGATAAAAGGTAATCACAGCTCTTTAGCGGCCATAACTTAGTAAGCTCTCTTTACAGGGAGAACTGCAGTGAAAAGATTAGCCAGTTTTTAAAGCGTTGTTTCTATCAGTCCGGGCAGTATAACTCGGAGGACAACTTCTCCGAGCTGGATAAGAAATTAAAAGATCATGAGGTATGTCAATGGTTTACTTGTTCATGGCTAAAGAACTTTGTGTACAGGGTGGAAAAGTCGCAAACAGAATGTTTTATCTCTCCGTTCCACCCAATGTTTTCATTGACGTCGCAAGGTGTGCCAGTCGCTCTGCATCGTCCTCCAAAGGTTGGACTCGTGTGATTGTCGAAAAACCATTTGGCCGGGATTCCGAGTCGTCTGGCGAGCTTACTAGCGGGCTCAAAGAGTTTCTCACTGAAGAGCAGATATACAGGTACCTCTAACTCAGTCGATGTAGATTATGTTCCAAACATTTTTATATTTCAGAATTGATCACTACCTGGGCAAGGAGCTCGTAGAGAACTTGTCGATTTTGAGATTCTCGAATCTTGTTTTTGAACCTCTCTGGTCGAGGCAGTACATCAGAAATGTGCAGCTTATTTTCTCCGAGGACTTTGGAACAGAAGGAAGAGGCGGGTACGTGAAAAGATTTACTTTTTTCCTTTTCGTTTCGTGAAAACAATTTGAATCTGTTTTGAAAATGTTCTAGGTACTTCGACAACTATGGTATCATCCGTGATATCATGCAAAATCACCTCCTTCAGATCTTAGCTTTGTTTGCAATGGAGCCTCCTGTTAGCTTAGACGCCGAGGACATTAGGAACGAGAAGGTATTGGTATACTAGGTACTGTCGAAGTGCGTGCTAACATGTTCGTGCAGGTGAAGGTGTTGCGATCAATGAGGAAATTGCAGCTGGAAGATGTTGTTGTTGGTCAATACAAGAGCCACATCAAAGGAGGCGTGCACTATCCTGGCTACACAGACGACAAGACCGTACCGAATAACAGTCTCACACCAACATTTGCAGCAGCGGCGCTTTTTGTAGACAATGCCCGGTGGGACGGCGTACCGTTTCTCATGAAGGCTGGCAAGGCCTTGCACAATAAGCTGTATGTTTCTTTATGCTTTTCGGTCTCTCTCTCGTGCTTGCATTATCTGGAGCTTACTGCTACTTAAATCTCGCCTTGCAGAGCGGAGATCAGGGTACAATTCAGGCACGTACCTGGAAACCTTTACAAAAGAAGCTTTGGCATGGATCTCGATCAAGCCACCAACGAACTTGTAATCCGGGTACAGCCGGACGAAGCAGTGTACCTCAAGATCAACAACAAAGTTCCCGGCTTGGGGATGCGGCTGGACCGAAGCAATCTCAACTTGCTTTACTCGGACAGGTGATATAGATTTCTATCTCTCTTTCCGAGCTCTCACCAATGCATTCTTCCACAGGTACTCGCGAGAGATCCCAGACGCGTACGAGAGACTGCTGCTCGACGCCATTGAAGGTGAGCGCAGGCTTTTCATACGCAGTGATGAGCTCGACGCAGCATGGGCCATCTTCACTCCACTCCTCAAAGAGCTTGAGGAGAGGAAGATCTCCCCGGAGCTCTATCCTTATGGGAGCCGGGGCCCGGTGGGAGCTCATTACTTAGCGGCCAAGTATAACGTAAGATGGGGAGATATGAGCTCGTCCGAGCACTCCAAGTCGTGAGTGCTCGATCGATCGAGCGCAAACCAAGGAAAGTTTTGTACAGGGTCTCCTTCGGCTACGAAATAACTTTGGAGTTCCAGAGCGATCGATTCAATCGGCTATCCGGGTTTGGAGAGGAAAGAGATGAGACAATGGAAAGTTTCTTGACACAAAGAATGGTATTGGCTAAAGGACGAAGAAGAAGAACAAAAGAATTCCAATAAAAGAGAGATTTTTCTTTCTTTCTATGGTTTGGTTGCTTCCGCTATGAATGCAAATGTCCGCAGCAACATTATGATGTGCCAGGTGCTCAAATTCTTATTGGCCAGATCTACGGCTGGTCCAAAAATACTTGCGTACGGATAGACTATGTACGGCATGTAAACCTCAGTGGTTTTTGAGGAGCCCTAATCCCGGGGATTTTGTTCTTCTTCTTGAATCGGTGGGTTGCCGCGAGCGATCGGCTCGATTTCTCGCTCGCTTTCTCCTCTCTGTTAGGTAAGAGCTGCGCCGGATCGTAATGGACATTAATCGCGCGGGCGCTTGGAAATTTATGGCCGCTCATGATTCAGGCAACCATTTCTTTCTGCGATCATGAATCTTTGATGAGCGGCGTTCCATCCGGCGGGCCGCATTCTCTTCTCTGGCTTCACAGGTTCGTAGCGATCTAGCTATCCCTAATCTAATCCGGTTTTCTCGCTGGAAATCTCGCCAGGATTTGATCGAGTCTTCGTCGATCGATCCGGCTGCAAGGCAGAAGAAATATTTGTTTGGCCGCTGCGTATGTAAGTCTGTCGCTTGCCTGCACATTCTTTGTTTGTTCTTGGCATTTTCTTTGATGCGTCATTGTCCCTGCCATCGTTTACGCGCTAAACTAACTCCTTTCCTTAACAATCCAGCCGATCGAGCATCGGCAGTGACGCTTTATCCCTGGCATTCTTTCTAGCACACACTCTTGGGTGCGTTTTCACCATTCAGTCTCCAGCGAGGTTCTCCTCTTTTCCTTCCTTTTTTATCTTTTGAGACCTCCAGCAAGATTAATGTGTCCTGCCAGTCTAGCGTCTTTCCTCTGATCGATTCTGTGAACTTTTATTTTCATTCTCAATCCTTTAGGATTTTTTTTTTCTCTTCGAGAGAACAGTTTTTCCGATTTGTGAGTTTTTCTTCTTCTTCATTTCCAGTCCTGTACTTAGCCGTGAGAAGCGCTTTGAGTCTTTCTCAAATCTTACCTTACTGCTTTGGATTCGATACTATATTACTGTCGAAGGTCATGTGCGTATGAGTCGGGTTTGTGTGTGATTTTTTTTAAGTGTGTGAATAGTTTCTATTCCAATCGCTTTATTGACGGAGGAGCCAGTCGCTGTCGACCGACTCCTGCGGTGGCCCCTCGCTGTAGGGTGTAACATCTCTTTTCTTCACCTTACTTTCTCTCTCACTCGTTGTTTGGGTTGCCCTTGAGCGTCCCTTGTGGGCTCTTCTCCCTTACTGTGCTAGCATTCTAATCTGCATTGCTACTGTGCTTGGATCCCTGGAGCAGGACATGGACCGGCGACCCTCTACGCTCTGGAGCTCGCAGATTTTTCCCTGAGGTGAAGTTAGGCAGCAGGAAATCCGGGATCCATACTGGAGGCTCCTCGGTAAGAACAGTGATCTGCTGTCCGGAGGTTTAAAATGCTGCCGCTGCTTATTTTTTATCTCAGGTGAAACTCAGGACTGGATAGGAGAGAGCTAGGCATTTGGATCTATGTGAGGATTATGGGAAAAGACCGGGCTTGGTAGATGCGGTGTTGGGTGCTCCGTGCATTGTTGTTCCCTTCGCCATGGAGGAAGCACTTACGCAGGTGCAGGCAAAAGACACCAAGGAAAGGATGGCTGGAGTGGAGATGCTCCAGACTTTACTTGAGCAGCGTAGGAAAGGGCTTTCAGCTAGCGAAGTAGGGAGCATAGTGGATGCAACCAGGGGACTGCTCACGGATAACAACTTCAGGGTTTGCCAAGGGGCTCTCCAGGTTCTTGCATCGGCGTCAGCACTAGCAGGCGAGCATCTTAAAGTTCACTTTAACGTTCTTGTCCCGGCCATCGTGGAGTGCCTCGGGGATGCCAAACAACCGGTCCGTGATGCGGCTAATCGGCTTATACTGGCACTCATGGAGGCAAGTTTCTTGTTCTCGCTTCGTTGGAAATGTGGATCTGATATGTATGGCTTCTTCACTCCGTGCAGATATCATCTCCAACTATTATAGTTGAGAGAGCGGGAAGCACGGCTTGGACTCACAGAAACTGGAGAGTTCGAGAAGAGTTTATGCGAACAATGGCATCAGCCGTGAGCCTCTTTTCGGCGAAGGAGATCACATTGCAACGCTTCATTCTTCCTTCCGTAAGCGCACTTTGTTTTGTGCTACACCTGATGTTCGTATCAATCTTTGGCAGGCCTTGCAATTGTTGAGCGATCCCAACAGCGCAGTGAGGGAAGCTTCTATGTTGTGTTTGGAGGTGCCAGTTTCTTTTCTGCATAATGGAGTGTAACTGAAGGTTTTGCCAGGAAATGCATCGTCAGGTTGGATCACAGTTTCGCGACGAGCTCCAGCGTCAGCCTATACAGCCGGCACAGGTGTTGTCGCTATCGATGAAATTTCTGCGATGCTGACTTTGGATGCAGATGACAGAAATTATCTCGAAGCTTGAAAGGATGGATTCAAAGTCTCGTCCCTTCGAAAGCTTAGCCAGGCAAGGTGGCGCAGACAACAACAAACCAATGACTAGTCCGTCTGGAAGTTTTAAAAGGCAAAGTCCGAGAGGAAAGCCCGCACCTTTAGATGTTCCGTCATATTCAGGCAAGCATTCTTTTTCATCTCTCGCGTATTTTAACTGTTATATCTATGAATGCAGGCGAGGTGGACTCTCCCGAACAACCCGTGGATCCTATTAAAGTGTATTCAGAAAGGGAGCTAGTGAGGGAGATGGAAAAGATCTGTTCCACGTTGACGCAGGACCAGGATTGGTCCGTAAGAATGGCTGCACTACAAAGGGTTGAAGGGCTTGTCTACGGAGGTACATACGTTTTCTTGTGGTTACTTCGCAAAAGTTTTAACGTTTTGTACATTTGTAGGGGCTACTGATTTCCAGTCTTTTCCTTCCTTGCTGAAGCAATTAACTCCCCCTCTGAATGTCCAGCTTTCTGATCGGCGCTCTAGTATCGTCAAGCAGGTTGATTCCGAACTTTTTTCTTTTGTGCTTTACTGACCGAATGTAAAACTTCCAGGCTTGCCATCTCTTGAATATTTTGTCTAGAGAATTATTATCTGATTTCGAGGCATGCGCAGAGTCCTTCATACCTGTACGTGGTTTTGATGTTCTGTATTCTTTGACTTATCTTCACGTTGTCAAACAGATGCTATTTAAGCTCGTTGTTATTACTGTTCAAGTTATTGCCGAGTCAGCCGATAATTGTATAAAAACGGTGTGTCATGCAATTACCTGTCCAAATTCTCATAACTCGCTTTTACAGATTCTGCGTAATTGTCGAGTTTCGCGAATGCTTCCGCGAATTGTTGATATTGCAAAAAATGACCGCAGTGGTGTCTTGAGAGCAAGGTACAGTTTAGCTCTTTGAACTAAATAATGAAGATAACAATGTATGATATTACTTAGGTGTTGTGAATACGCTCTTTTGATACTAGAACAGTGGCCGGATACTCCAGAAATCCAACGTTCAGCCGAACTTTATGAAGATCTTATCAAATGCTGTGTTGTAGATGCTATGAGCGAGGTAACTTTCGCTAATATGTGAAAGAAACAAATGAATCAAACTCGTTGTATCCAGGTACGCTCAACGGCAAGATCATGTTATCGACTTTTTGCTAAGACGTGGCCTGAACGATCCCAAAAACTTTTCTTCTCTTTTGATCCGGCTATTCAGCGTGTAAGTAACTTACATGGTTTATTCTTCTAAATGGACGTTTTCATTTTGTTTCACAAGCTTATAAACGACGAAGAAAGAGGATTTCATAAACGATACTCGTCTCCAGCATCGCGCACCAGGGGTAACCCGTTGAGGGCTTCATTGACTGTCGTCTCGAAGTCAACCCCTGTTACTCCCCAGACAGTTCCTATTATCGCAATGGACAGACGTGCGAGTTTCTCGTCGGGTGGAGCTCATTCGAGAACGAGCGAGCAAGAGAGAAGCTTAGAAAGCATTTTACAAGCAAGCCAACAGCGGGTAAACGCAATAGAGACGATGCTGAGGGGCGTTGATATATCTGACGTGAAAGGTCCTCTATCTAAGGCTACCGCCAAAGGTACGATATCTTGCTTCTTTTACTTTGCACTGCATAACGTTCCTCTTTTCGCAACAGCAAGCCCCAAGGCTGTGGATTTACCATCCTCTCGTGATCCACCTTTTCCGGCTTCAGCGTCGTCCGCCGTGGGAGGCAGTACTACAGTTTCTAGCGCTTACACTGGCGATCTCTACGGTACTGCACCTGGAGCTTTGTTATCTCCTCAACGCATGCTTTCTGACACGAAGAGAGGCATGGTCTACAACGGTTTGAGTCAAGACAGTGATCGGGTTAATGCGAGGGTATCAGTCATGGACAGATTCAACTGGAGCAGCTCTAGCTTGATGGCTGAAGGCAGGGAAGGTAAGCGGACTCCAAGGGGTGATAACCAAGGTGGAGTTCCAGGATTCCAGAGACCACTTCTTAGAAACAGCAGCTCGGGGAGGTCGCCGTCTGCCACTAGAAGCCATGGTGATACTATGCAGGGGTCCTACGAAGCGTTTAGCAGTAACGGGTCCACAATACAACTCCACGAAGCTCTTGGAGAAGGCCTTAGTCCCAATGCCGACTGGTCGGCACGGGTTGGCGCTTTTACTTTCATCAGGGATCTGCTTCAGAACGGCATAAAGGGACTACAGGAAATAACGCAGAGCTTTGAGAAGATTATGAAGCTCTTCTTTGCACACTTGGACGATCCACATCACAAAGTTGCGCAGGCAGCTCTGTCAACCTTGAATGAGCTCGTTCCAGTTTGCAGAAAACCGTTTGAGTCGTACTTGGAGCGCATTTTACCTCACGTCTTCTCCAGATTGGTCGACCCGAAGGAAATCATACGGCAGCTCAGTGCATCAGTTCTTGAGACGGTTGGCTCGACTTACACCATTGAGTCGTTGCTCCCTGCTTTGTTGCGATCCCTCGACGAGCAGCGGTCACTTAAGGCCAAAGTCGCTATCATCGAATTTGCCAACAATGCACTCAGTAAGCTCACGCTCTCAGGGGAAATACCAGGTGGTAGTGGACTGATGAGGTTGTGGCTGGCAAAGATTGCTCCTCTAGTGAACGATAAAAACCCGAAGCTTAAGGATATTGCTGTCAACAGTCTTATAGCAGTTTATACTCACTACGATTCCGGCGCAGTCCTGAACTTCATTCTCAACTTATCCATCGAAGAGCAAGCCAGCTTACGTCGTGCATTAAAACAGTACACTCCTCGCATAGAAGTGGACCTCGTCGCAGTTCTGCAGAGCAAGCATCAGCGAGGGAAGAAGTCAGGCAATGATCAAAATGACTACTCTACCATGTCCGTCGATGGTGGAGGTAGAGCCTACTCGACCTTGATGAGAAGCCAGCCGCCTGGAAGCTATTCTTCCGGATCCATAAACAGCGACTCTGGTAGAAAGTGGAGCTCCATGCAGTCCGACTCAGTGCAGTATAACGCCAGAATGAACGGTCAGTCCAAAGAAAATGATGCGAGCGCCATCAGCTCAAACAACTTCAGGAGCGTGTCGAGTATCGAGGACGTTTCTCAGTCTAAGAAGGCCGGATTGCGAAGTTCTGGAGATAAGCTCGATAGAATGTCCCAAACACGCAGACTGAGCACCGAGGACCTGAGGAATATGGTCGACAGTATTGAACATAATAAGGCTGACGAGACTAGTTTGGAAAAGCGTCAACAGAAAAATGAGGCAGACGAAGCATACAAACAGCTCTTTTCTCAGGAGTCTAGCAAGGTACCTCTAGCGGAAGAAGTCAAGCCTTCGGAGGCAAACGGATCAAGTTTCGACGATCTTCCGAGTATTCCATCGCTGCTTATACAGGTATTGAGGCTGAAGATGTTTTCTAAACATGATGTTGATGATATTTCGTGCAGATGTCTAATGTGGAGGATTCAAGTAAACGATCAGGTGCTCTCGAAGATTTTCTCGCGATATTTCGTAAAGCCGATGCTAGCAGCTGGTCACAGGTGAGAAGGTTACTCTCTACCAAGCTGAATTCTGAAATATGGTTTTTGCAGTATTTTAACCAGATCCTCACGGCCGTTCTCGAAGCATTTGATGATCCGAATAATGCCATTCGCGAGCTTGCTTTATCCGTTATCTTCGAAATGCTAAATAATCAGGTTTGTTTCCTCTGATTTTCTCGAGATTCCCATTCACTAGTTTCTTCAGAGAGCGATGATGGAAGAACCAACAGAGCTGCTGGTAGAGAAACTTCTGCATGCAAGCAAAGACCAGACGCCAAAGGTAGGCAAACCTTAATGGGAACGATTGCCAAGTTCGAGCTGTTCTCTTCTTTGGACAGGTTGCTGCTGGGGCAGACGCGTGCCTGACCGTTGTACTTAAAGAATTCGATGCCTATCGCTGCCTCTCGGTAAGCCCACAACACTTTTGGCAATGGATAACAAGCCTGCTGCTGCCGCAGGTTGTTGTTCCTCTTCTCGTGAACGAAGACGTGAGAACCTTGATTACTTGTATAAGCTGCCTAACTAAGGTACGAAGGAGAAAACGAGCATTGGGATAACATGTTTTTTGTTTCTCTTTCAGCTTGTATCCCGTCTTCCACAACAAGAGCTCATGGAGCAGCTACCGTCTTTCCTCCCGGCTCTCTTCGACGCGTTTGGCAACCAAAACGCCGACGTTCGCAAGGTCTGGATTTAAAGTTCCTCCCTTTCGGTGCTTCTTATGATTTCTTCCACAGACTGTTGTCTTTTGCTTGGTGGACATCTACATCGCACTCGGAAAAGCATTCGTCCCGTATCTGAGCAGCCTCAGCAGCAACCAGTTACGGCTGGTCACGATTTACGCGAACAGAATCGCACAGGTATACTCAAACGCGTTTGTTTCATCACGTCGTGGAATCTAAAAGTAAAACTCGTCAGGCTCGTACTGGGACCCCTGTCGAGCAGCAGCAGCAGCAGCAGCAAGCGGCAGCGGCAACACCCACACAGTAACACACACAGGATTTTCGCGAGAGAAAGTTTACATAAATCCAGCAGAGTTTCTAGGTTCGTCGTTTTTCATTTTCTCTCGTTTAGGAAGTAGGCATGGAGATCAGGAAGTTAATGGTGGTGGTGATGGTGGCGCTACTGTTGCTCGCAGTAGAGCTAAAGGGAGTGGAAGAAGTGGGCGGGGAAAGAAGAGATCTTCGAAGCGGCGGAGGTGGATCAAGAGGTGGAGGATCCAGAGGAAGCGGTGGATCGAAAGGAGGAGAATCAAAAGGAGGATCGAGAGGAGGAAGGATTCCAAGGAGCCCAGTAATCGTAGCTGGTGGATCTCATCGCCACAGTGACTCTTCTCGGTGCTCCGCCAGCGCCACTGCCACCGCCGCCACCGCCGCCATCGCCGCCGCTTTGGCTTTCCTGTAAGGACGTGGAATATGCTTCTTGTACATTTGGCATCTACTGTTTTGAGTAAAAACCTTTTTTTTTTCGTGTTCTCCTTTATCTCCTTTAATTTAGGGTTCTTCGATAATGGCGTCGCGCACCTGTGTGTTGGCGTGGTGCGTTTCGATCGTTTCTCTTGCCGCGCGCGGTACTGATTGATTGACGCTGGCTGTGATTTGCAGGGGAGCCGGCGAGGACGGGCAGCTCGGGCTCGGCAATCTCCAGGACAAGGATTCCGTGTGCGTTGTCGATGCGCTGCGCGATCACAATGTAGTCAGCGTCGTGGCCGGGAGCCGCAACTCCCTGGCGATCTGTGAGGACGGCCGGGTGAGCAGCGAATCGATCGGTATTTCGAAAGAGGTCGTAATATTTCTTGTCGCAGCTCTTTACTTGGGGATGGAACCAGCGCGGCACTCTGGGGCATCCTCCAGAGACCAAGACGGAGAGCACGCCAAGCCAGGTAGAGTGTGGTGTAGATTTTTGGTGCCTAATCGCTCCCTGCAAGACATTTCCAGCAGGGATCTGAGATCTCGGACTTTGCAGGTCAAGGCTTTGGCAAATGTGAAAATTGTCCAGGTAAGATCGCTCATACTTTTTCTTTTTGTAGTTAAAGACTGTCTATCACAGGCTGCGATTGGAGGCTGGCATTGCTTGGCTGTGGATGAAGAGGGAAGAACATATGCATGGGGTAAGAAAAGAATTGCTTTTGCGAGGAAATCCTTTGCATTTTCTTTCCAGGAGGTAACGAGTATGGTCAGTGCGCTGAAGAGCAGCAAACCAAAGAGCAGCAAAACAAAGGCGAGAGTAAAGTTCTCCACCGTGACATCACTATTCCTCAGAGATGTGCTCCTCGTCTATGCGTCCGGCAGTTGAGTAGGCTATTTGGAAATCTTTCTTGTCGTAGCTTGGTGGCCTTTCCTTGCTAAGATTCTCTTTTTTTCTTCTTTCAGGTAGCAGCGGGTGGCACACACTCGGTGGTCCTTACAGAGGAAGGACATGTTTGGACCTGGGGACAACCATGGCCTCCCGGCGACATGTAAGCTTTTTCTGGTGAGACTTTCTTTTTGGCTGATTGGTGGCTTTTTGCGTTCCAGCAAGCAAATATCTGTTCCAGTTCGCGTACAGGGATTGGAGAACGTAACCATGATTGCCGTCGGTGCTTTTCACAATCTTGCGCTGGTCCAACACGGAGAAGTTTGGGCGTGGGGCAACAACGAGTACGGGCAACTCGGCACTGGAGATACCCAGCCGCGTTCTTCTCCAGTTCCTGTGAAGGGTTTGACTGGACTTGTTCTGGTTTGTACATGATTCTCTTGACTCTCTCTTACGCTTCATAAGTTTTCTTTAATGTATGCTTTCTTTGTCTTGTAAGGTTGATATTGCAGCTGGTGGCTGGCATTCTATGGCATTGACACCTGATGGAGCGGTAAGTGTCTCTCTAAGATCTCAGCGAAACAAAGAGCATATGCTGAGTTTTGACAAAACGCACAGGTGTATGGATGGGGGAGAGGAGAGCATGGACGGCTGGGTTTCGGTGATGACAAGAGCAGCAAAATGCTTCCACAGAAAGTTCATCTTCTAGCTGGAGAGCCAGTTGTGCAGGTACAGAAACTCTCTTGTTTATATGTTTTCTCTTTTCCATCCTCGGAAGGATTTTGAGAATTGTACGCAAGTTTACAGGTTTCGTGTGGTGGCACGCATTCCGTGGCAGCAACAATCAGCGGTCGCATGTTCTCGGTAAGTTCGTGTAGTTTTGGATCACGTTTCAAGTCGTAGATTGATGGCTGCCTCTTACCTGGTCTAGTTTGGACGTGGTGACCACGGGCGTCTTGGCTATGGCGGAGCGGTCACGACCGGGCATCCCGTCGAAGTCCCCGTTTCTCTCCATCACTACTCGCGGCACAACATCGTCAGTGAAGACGAGGCCAATGGTAGTACCCGGTGGGTGGTAAAACTCGTTGCCTGTGGTGGCAGGCATGCTCTCGCGGTTGCTTCATGCTAGAAAACTTTTCTTCTTTCTCTTCTGCAAGCCTACGTAAGTCATTTCAGCCGGAGAAACTTCCCGAGCAGTGTTATCTTGTGAGTAAGTTTGCCAGTTTCTTACATTGTTCTGACAAATTCCTGGTGTTTTTTCCAGGGGGGATCTCTTCCAGAATGTTGTCAGCAATACGTAAATTCTTCCGTGGTTCCGGCACAAACAAACGCGAATCACATGTGGCTAGCGAGAACTCCGTATGATCTTTACTCGATTTTCTCGCTCGCTGCTACAAAAATTTCTCCAGGCATCATCGTTTTTGTTTCGATCTCCCGTGTTCCTTCCAGGAGGAACTATAGCTATTTTCGATCCTTCCAAGATCCTGCAATAGTAGCAAGAAGAACTACGTTTTACCTCCCGGATGGAACTAAATTGTTAGCCTCCAGCGTGGAACACATGGAACAAGGACAGTGGTCCCAAAGTACGCACGGACAAGTCACGCCTAGACACCACGTAAAACATCGCGAAAAGAAAATCACTCCAAGGAGATTTTACTTAGATTGTTGTGTTGGAGAATAGCATGCTACGTGGTTTGATAAGAGGCCATGTCGATTTTGTCACTTTCACCACCTTAGCATGAGAATTTTAACCATGACGAGAGTTATTTTGACATCACACAACACAAATTCAACCCACCTGTCATTACGAACAAATAACGACAATGAGCCCACGGGACTCGAACCTGGGACCTCCTAATCGCATCTCGGGAAGATTCCATTTATAGGAGCTTCCCTTGCGTGCCCTCTCACTCTCTTTCATTCTCTCCTTGGCTCTGTCGAGTACATCGTCACTGGCGGAGGCGGCGCTACAAACATTGATCGGTTCTCCAAAGTCCAGGCTCTGCCGCTAGGCGGTGGCAGAGTTCGTCACGTCTCGCTCATCGATCCTGCGCCGATTTATGCCGCGCTCGATCGATCCAGGTTACTGTAAGTGAAGTGCTGCATTTCTCAGGGATCCTCCTCGATAGCGCTCCTCCATCGTTCCTTCTCCTCGAAATATCGCTCCTCCATCGATCTCTCCTCCTCCCCCACCAATGTTTCTTCCCGAAATTCTTTTCTTTTCTCGAAATATTTTCCCTACTTGTCGATCGATTCCACTCTCCAGCGACTCTCACCATGGCGGAGCTCGAGAAATCCACGGCGGACAGGGAATACCGCACATCGGACACCCTGCTTGTGAGAATCGCCGAGCGGCCCATTGCTGTCGCCGCTATCTTCTTCCTCACTGCTATCTTCCCCTGGGTCGTCTACTTCTACGCTCCAGCGCTTGCCGAGGCATTCCAGTCGACGAGCTACACGGATCTCATCCAGTGGCTGTCCTTGCCAGTGCTCTTCCTCCTCGTCAACTGTGTGGTGTTCTTCCTGTGGATCAATCACTCCAAGAGCAGCAGTGGCAGTGGCAGTGGCATCGCTAGAGCTCCTTCCTCCATCGCGGGGGAGAGCTTGATCGGCAACAGCGAAGATTGGGGCAGTGTTTTTGATGCTCATCGCCAGGTGAAGAAGGATGAGAGTAGCACTACTGTAGCTGACAGTCCCAAGGCTCGGGAATCGGACCCTTCGTTCTCATCGTCATCGGAATCCGAGAGAGAGGAAGAAGAAGAACGACGAGAAGTTGATGAACTTCGAAGAAAGCTAGAGCTTCCAGCAAGAGAAGAACAAGAGCCCCAAGAAAAGAAGCGTCCGGCAAAGAAGATCTCCTCAAAGCTCGAGGAGGAACGCGATCATCAGCCTCCGGCAAAGAAGATCTCCTCAAAGCTCGAGGAGGAACGCGATCATCAGCCTCCGGCAAAGAAGATCTCCACAAAGCTCGAGGGGGAACGCGATCAACCGGCTCCATCTCCAACACCATCGAGGAAGAAGTCCGCCAGGAACGAGCAATTGGAGTCGATCGACGAGCAGAGAGTGTCCAGGCCGAGGCACAAGAAGACCCAATCGCTCAAGCTGGACGCCAAGATGCTGGAGGAGATCCACGCCGCGGCGGACAAGGAGCACCAGGAGCAGCAGCAGCAGAAGCAGACGCAGGCGCATCGGGTGACGAGGAGGAACTCGTCGCCCAAGTCGAGAACGCCCACGCCATCTTCCTTTGGGCTGGAGATCGATCCCAAGCACGTCACCCGGAGGAATTCGTCGCCAAAGACCATGACGCCCACGGCCTCGTCGTCGATATCAACACCCTCGCTCGCAAACACCGGCACTTACATCCCACCGTCGCGCCCGATCCCTCTCGACCGGGACGATCTCAACACCCGCATCGACAGCTTCCTCACCAAGTTTAAGATCGAGCGCCAGGAATCCAACTTGCGAGCCGCGCTCTTGAGCGACGACCAAAAGAACCGGTAACCTTCTGGAGCCCGTTCAGTTCCCGGACACCGTAAAGCTTGGCTGTTTCGTTACAAGGTGGCTAATCATGTGCTATCATGTGTGTGGTTCTTAGGTGAAAGGAGCTCTTCATCCGCCATGACCCCACGAAGGAAAAGAAAGCGGGACCTTCACTGGATCTCGAGCGCGATCGATCAATCGCTTCTTTGAAGAACAAGAATGTCCACAGCTTTTTTTCTTGAAACACTGTGTAAGAAGTAAAAAAGGGAGGGATCGACCCATCGATCACGAGCGGCAGCGTCTACAGTCGATACTAGTTTTGTCAGAGCTTTCTTGTTCTTTCTCTTGGTTTTCTCCTTTTTTATTTGTTAAAATGTGTGGAAAAGGCTTTGGCCAAGATACATAGATAGATCCATTCCGGACTTTCGTGTTGCTTTTGAAAGAGACATATGGACACCACCATTGTCGGGCCTCATAATCCACAGCACGACCCACAACCTCTAGTGGGTGCACCTGCAAATGCAAAGCATCCATCCAAGAAGAGCATTAGAGAAAAAATCGAGAAAAAGGGGAAAAGAAGCTCCAACAAAAAGGAAAGAACTTCCTTCTTCCCTCCCTTTAAAGAATGTTACGTACTGTGATCAATGCCACGGATGTTGTCTAGTCCACCGCGTCTGCCTCCGCCACCACCACCGCCACCGCCGCCACCACCCCACCCTCCTCGACTTCCTCCGCTTGATCTTCTCGTCCTGCCGTATTGATCTGATGCGTCCTTCTGCAATGCAACACGAGGACATCAGTCACGGGAAACCAGTGCGAATCTTTTCCGCTGGCGAGAAAACCCGGAGAGAACAGAGTTTTGTCACAAGGACTAACTTCTAAAGCTTCTAGCTTTGGGACCAGCGGGGCTCTCTATCAACAAGGTGAATCTTCAATCAATCGTAGCTATCCTTGTCTATCTTAAAAAAAGACCAAGCGTTTTGACTGTGCCCAATCAGGCTGGACAAGACAAACACACTTACAGAGAACAAGGTGAGCAAGAAGGTGTGAATCAAGGCCAAAATCCCCCAAAAGTAGTCCGCGAGGAGGCTGAGGCTCCATGGGCGCTTGTTCTTCAATGACCCTGTTCCAATTCCATCAGCAAGGAAGGGGAAATTGGAAACACTCGACCGATCTCACCTCCAGCAACGTACGCCATCGCGCGAGCTTGGAGCTCTTCCTTGCCCTAAGGCTTTTGTGTCCTTGACGCAACACGTGGCGATGCCTCATTGGACACATCGACGTCATTGTTTCAAAGGGCAACGGTTCGATTCCAGCTGGAACAAAAAAAAAGGACTTTTTTTGGAGCTCTCTTGTCTCAATGGCTAGTGGCCAAAGCCGTGACGAGAAGACCCAGAACAAAGAATGGTTGCGCACTAGCCTGCAAGACAAATGAGAGATAGAATTGGTCAAAAAGAAACTTTGGGGAGTGGAAATCATGTGCTTGCCTGATACTTCACGTCGTATTTAAGTGGATCCTTTAAGAAGTACTGGAACTGGATGAGATTGGAAACAGGGAAAAGAGCGTAAGCTAGAAACTACGAGACAATCGAGCTCGCAACTTGGACAAAAGAATGCTAGCTCACCTGGAAAATTATTTGCGGAGTGATGAGTCCAAGTAATGCCAGTGCGTAGTAGAGCTTCCCAGTGGCGAATAAGTAGCCTGTGATCAAACGCGGAATAAGTGGAAGAAAAAGTCGTGTTTTCTTGTTTTCTTAAACTCGGGATTTTTAGCTGCTGACCTGCAACGGATAGCTGCGTGAGGTCGATGGAGCCAATGCATATCCACTTTGCAGTGTCGATTCCAAATGCGACTGGTAGAGACTGGGTAATCAAGCGAAAGCATTTGAACGAGTTTTGGCTAGATCCAAAGGAGAAATATAAAAGAATATCACCTGTAATCCCATGGCACGGTCTCCTTCTATGCTCTTAAAGTCGTTCACGATGGCGATTCCGAGCTGTGATGACACTGATTACAAGAGAAATGGAAAGGAAAAACGCAAGGACGCTAACCCCTGCCGTGCTGTACAATAAAGTGAGGACGACAACGTCCCAGGAGAGCGTTCCAAAGAGAGCTTGCGAGGCCCACCTGTGTGGCGCAAAAGAGGAAATCAAAACGCGAGCGAGCGAAAGCAATGTCACGTACCAAGGCAAGGCAATGTAGCTTGAGCCGAGTGCGTAGTTTCCTATCCATCCGCTTTGCTTCAGCTGTAAAACGCAAGCTTAACTCGTACTCCTGGAGGAGTGGTCTGATACCTTTAAAGGAGGGGCAGAGTATATATATGAGAGCAAAGCGCCTCCAAGCGAAAGGCAGAATATTGTTGGAAATGAGTGACCAGCCTGTGTTTGCGAACATGTGTAAGCAAAGATTTAAAACCGAAGGACGAGATTGAAAAACAACATACCCACACATCGAGCGTATACGCAAGACCAATGCCACCAAGAAGCAACACCCAAATTTGCGTGATTACCTGTAAAGTCGTCAGAACTCAACCAAAAATTCATGACTTGTCGACTTACTTCGGGTTCGGATATGGCTCCTGACGGAATTGGTCTGTAAGGCTCGTTGATGGCGTCTATCTCGCGATCATACCAATCGTTGATGGTCTGAAACAGAAATATGGAAGATGAAGATAGAATCGAAAAAGGAAAATAACCTGAGTGTATCCAGTTAAGAATGGCCCGGCCATCAACATACAAGTGATGGACTTAGCAACATCCTCGATTGTCCAATGGAAATTTCCTGCAACATGCATTCTCGGTTTTTTGAGCGACCAACACGCACAAGCGTACCAGATGCCGCTGCACCACACAAGACTCCCCAGATCAATGGTGCCCATGTCACCGGTTTTGTCAACTGTAGACGGATTTTCCACTTGTCCTGCATTGAGATATCATGTGATTTAGAAATCTTCCTTTCGGTGGAAAAGTCGTTCGGCAGGCACCGTTTCTTTTCCAGCTCCTTTCATGCCAAGAAGTTGGTTCACGGCGGAAGATCTGGTATCACTGGGAGTAACTTCAGGAGCATTGGGCTTGGCTGAATCAGAGAAAAACAAATGTCAAAATTGGAAAGAAAGAAACCTTGACAAGTTCCTTACTTTTGTCTGTCTCAGTACCAGCTGCCCGAACGCTCAAACGCCCTGTTTCATGAGAATTGAGCACCTACAACAGCATGCAGCATGCCTACCTGTGTGCCGTTTCGATCGGACCCCGGCACTCCTGTGTTGAAATCTAATCCTGGCAGCCGGCATTTGAATGCAGCACCCATGAATTATTCGGCAATCAGAAACCCACAACGCTTCGGTGGTCGACGACTTTGAAAGATACAGAGATGAAAAGGCCATAGCCGCTCGCGGCACTGCTGCGGTCTGCAGAGACAAACCAAAAGATCAGAAATCCCTTGCTGTTTTGTACCTTAAGACGGACGAATATCCAATCAACATCGTGTGCGCTAGATCTAGCCACGTAAGTTTGATCTGCTCAAGTCGAGCTTACGATTAAATAGAAACTGCTCGACTTTGCATGAACGTACCTGGTCTGTTGCGGTGAGACACCGAATTCCTGGGAGGAAAAGAACACCCGCAGCTGCAAAACTATAAGGGACGGCGTGCATAGAATGAAACAAAAAACAATACCTGTCATGCCGGAACACCCGTTTTCATTTCGTGAAAAAGGATCGCTGCATTTTTATGAAGAAGGTTTGCCATGGCTCCTCCATCAACAGTCACCTGTAAGTCCCGGTGCAATGTCAGTATCACGAAGGGATCTCAACCAAATGGAAAGGAACAAGGCAACCAGGATGCAGGAAAATGTAAGCACTACTGTGGCAAAGGCACTCACGAGCTTCCTTCTTGCACAGGTCGCTCTTTCCACCCGTTGGATCCCTTGCAACCGTCGGAGATTGTAGCAGCAGCGCATGTTATCAAAACTGCACTTGCACCAACACTTGTGAGTTCTTTCTCTTTGCACGCAACCTCACGAAAATGGTTCTTACAGGCCAAAAGCGGCGTCATAAACTTCATCGAGGTGATCCTCGACGAGCCAGAGAAGACGCTGCTTGCTCTGTATCAATGTCAACTCCAAGTGAAACACAACCATCGACAGCTAGTACGTCCTCCAAGACAAGCAAGGCTGACCGTGTACAATGCACACAACAATGAAACAAGTCTCTGGGTTGTAGAATTACCAGCAGCGCCGAGAGCTCCCAAAGTCTTGTGGTGCCAGTACATTCCAGACGTCCAGCCTCCAGTGGTAAGTTTTCATAATTCCTTGCATGATAGACAAGAACGTGTAAGTGACCAGCAGGGAACAGAGGAATACGTGCTCTGTGAAGCAATCGTAAAATCGCACAAGCCACTAATAGAGGCATTGAGAAAACGAGGAATCACTAACACTGACCTGATCATGGTGGACACCTGGTAAGCCTTGCGGAATTCGCTTGTCGGAAACATGAACTTTGTGCAGGTGCACTGGTTACCACGAAGAAAAGGATGCTCCAAGTCGTAGACTGGCGAGACCGCTTATGTTTTATAGAACTGAGAGCTCCTGTCCGATGGAAAACGGCTACGCGAGACCGATAGAAGGCCTGTCGCTGCTAGTTGATCTCCAGAACATGAATGTCGTCGAACTCGAGGAGAGAGAAGCTGCTCCGCTTCCGCCACCAGATCCAATGAGGAACTACACACCAGCTTGTGTTCCAGGAGGCCTCCGAACCGACGTCAGGCCGTTGCAGATTTTACAACCTGGAGGACCAAGTTTTGAAGTTAATGGATACGAAGTAACCTGGCAAAAGGTAAAGGTTTCTCGAGTGCTCTTGAGACTAACCTGCTCGTTTTTATCTCAGTGGTCCTTTCGCCTGGGATTTACTCCACGAGAAGGTCTAGTAATCCACAGTGTAGCGTATAGCGACGGTTCTCGAGGTCCGAGGTCTGTGGCTCACAGGTTGAGCTTCGTAGAGATGATAGTCCCTTACGGAGATCCTGCAGAACCACATTACAGAAAAAATGCTTTCGATGTAGGAGAAGACGGACTTGGGAGGAATGCTCACTCGCTGAAAAAGGTAGGATGACTAGCAGACATGTAAGCTCACGACCTGTTTGCTTTGGCAGGGATGCGATTGCTTAGGATACATTCACTACTTCGATGCGTATCTCACGGACCAAAAGGGAGACGTCGAAACACTCGAAAATGCAATATGCTTACACGAAGAAGACAATGGCATACTGTGGAAGCACAAGGATTGGAGGACAGGTCTTTCTGAAGTCCGAAGATCTAGACGGCTCACCGTTTCTTTCATATGCACTGTCGCAAACTACGACTATGGCTTCTACTGGCACTTCTACCAGGTAGATCAACAAGCATCCTAACAATCCAGACTATCACTAAAGCTCCCTACTTAGGATGGGAAAATAGAGGCTGAAGTGAAACTTACCGGCATTCTGAGCCTCGGAGCGATTCAGCCCGGCGAGCAAAGGAAAAACGGAACGGTCATAAGCACTGGATTATATGCTCCGATACACCAGCACTTTTTTGTAGCACGCATGAACATGGCAGTCGACAGCAAACCTGGAGAAGCAGAAAATCAGGTACTTGAAGCTCAATATGAAACTATCACCTTTCCTTGCCTCGGCTCATTGTTTCTGAGTCCTTGTTTCTCAGGTTGTAGAGGTTAACGTTGTGCCAGAGCCACCGGGTCCAAACAATCCTCATTGCAACGCATTCTACGCCAAGGAGACGCTGCTAAAATCCGAAATGCAAGCTCAGAGAGACTGCAATCCTTTATCTGCACGACACTGGATAGTAAGTAGACTCAACAACGAAGAAAAAACTTCATGCTCGACTTCTATGACAATGCAGGTAAGAAACACCAAAGTTGTGAATCGAGCTGGCGGAAACACAGGCTACAAGCTTGTTCCCGGAGCAAACTGCCTGGGATTCATCGGCAAGGACGCGATGATCCTGCGAAGAGCCGAGTTTCTCAAGCACAACCTCTGGGTAACCAGCTATAGCAAAGACGAGCTCTACCCAGCCGGCGAGTTCCCCAAGCAAAACCCCCGCATTGGAGAAGGCCTGCCGACCTGGGTGAAAAAGGACCGCGATCTCGAGAATGCCGACATCGTCCTGTGGTAATACTCTAGGATCGATCTCTCCTTCCTCTCTTCTCGCAAAATCTCCTAGTTCTCGATCGATGCAACGCAGGTACGTATTTGGAGTGACACACATACCTAGGCTCGAGGATTGGCCCGTGATGCCAGTGGAGCGCATCGGATTCACACTCACGGTAGGAATCCTCGATCGCTTGCTATGGCGCCGCTAACGAGTGATCGATGGATTGCGCAGCCGCATGGATTCTTCGACTGCTGCCCGGCGATCGACGTTCCCCCAAATCAGAATGGCGCTTAAACCCTAAAGTTCAAAATAAATGCCCTTGCTCAAACCCTAAACTTCAAAATAAAAGCCCTTATAGAAGACCCTTAAAAAAATATTCTCACCAACATATTCCTCTTCCTCTTCCAGTGTTGTATAGATCAGATCTTCGTGGCTTCCTCCTCTTGCTTCTTCTGGGCATCGCGAGCGATCCCTCTCTTGCGAATGTTCAAGCTCGTCTTCAAGCGATTGGCATCGAGAGTGTGCTCCCGGAACAATCCCCTTATGAACCACAGCAGCGAGTGGAGGAAGTAGGGAGTGACGCGGGCCTCGTAGCCGATCCATCGCATCGCGCACTGCGCGTAAGTATCCGGCGAGGGACAGGCCAGAGAAGGCTTTCGCACTCGCGTCATTTTCGTGGCGACATATAGAGGAACCTGTGACAAAAAAGAAACAAAAAAGAACGAGCGATCACTTCCAAAGTTTGTGGAAATGGTCTACTGGTACCTGGCACTGGATGTCGATTCCTACATCCCGGTACTCCACATTCAGTGACTTCGAGAATTGGTCGACGAATCTGTGCGAAAAAAAAAAGTGTTTTGCAGCTTAGAACAGCGAAACTTGAAGAAGAAGAAAGGAAGAACAATGAGAGGAGGAAGAAACCCTTTGGTCGCCGCGTAGAGCGAGTATAATGGATCCGAGGAGAGAATGGACGCTGCCCCGGAGCCCATATTGATGATACATCCTTTCCTCCGTTTGAGCATCCCCGGGAGAACCATGTGAACCATTCTCGTCATCGCCTCCACGTTGATCCGGAGGAGATTGGTGAGGAGCTCGTCGTCCACCTCGTGAAAGAATCGCGCGTAAGGATACGACATACCCGCGTTGTTCACCAGCATTCCCACCTCGAGCCCCTCGATCGCCCGCTCGACCCTCGACACCTCGGCCCGGAGATCCGGCCCGCAGAGATCGACCACCACGGGGAGATAATCCACGCCCTTGTACAGCGCCTGGAATTCCTGGATCATGTCGCGGAGCTTGGATTCCGAGCGGCCGACGAGCACCAGATTGAGGCCGCGCTGCGCGAACTGGTGGCACAGCGCCTTGCCGATTCCATCCGTGCAGCCCGTGACCAGCGCCCAGGCGCCGTAATCCCTGACATTCTTGGCAGGCCGGAGGAATGCGGCCCAAATCCAAATGGAAAGCGCGTAGAGGAGGCGAAATCCACAGAGCATACCGAAGATCGCCAGCGCCTTGACAACGGGGATGTAGTGCTGGACGCATGCGAAGGCGAGAGCTGTGATTCCAATATTGCTCGCGTTCTCCATCAGGAACTCGGACAGGATCTGCGCAGGCCCCGGTGTCGTCATTTCGATCGGATCGATGGAGCGAGCGAGCGAGCGCCAAGCAAAGCGCGCCGAGAATAACCTAAGCTAAAGACTCCACAAGACAATCCCCGCCGTTGGCTCCCAGACCATCGGAGCCGTCCACCGCCTTGAGCGCATTCATTGAGCGCCCAGAAGTTTGGTCTGTGACCTATTTAAAAGCGTCGGATATTCCTTTCAACGGCCAGCTTTTATTCCTTGCCAGCTCGGCACCACTCTCTCGAAATTTTGTAGGGTTCTTGCGAGTCTTCTTGGCAGATTGGGGAGATATGGGCAATCCGGTGGGGCTTCCTCTACTGCTGGCGATCACTAGCGTCATCGCGACGGCATTTAAGTGGCATTCCGCGCCTCACAAGGTGCCATTCTGGTGGAATCTGCAGGGTAAAATCCATAGATTTCTATCGGCATTGTCTGATATCTAGATCTTCTAGGGCATCCCGTGGCCTGGGTGCCGCGATGGATCGGTCTCTTCGCGCTCCCGGTGCTCCAGTTCCTGATTCCATATGTCATCTATCAATTCGCCGCGCGCGATAGGGATCTGGAGCGACAGGGGTGAGTGATTTCTCCCAATTCTTCCAGATCTAGCACGGGAAATCTGATCGTCTGGGTGGATTTCCAGCGGAGAGTCAAAGCACGCGGCAGCACACGTGATATCCGTGCCGGCATTGTTCCTGTTCTTCGTTCACATTTTCGTGATCTTAGATGCGGCAACGAGTCCCAGCCATGACTTTCATCCTCGTCTCTTCGTTGCGAGCATAGCCTTGTGGCTACTCTTCTGGTTTGGATATAACATCCAGGTACCATCGAATTTTCATGCCTTGATCTTTCATGGTTTCATGCGATTTCTTCTTTGATTCTTCCAGTATGTGGAGTTTAATTCCACCATTGGCATTCTAACCCCATGGACAGTATCAAATTCTACTGTCTGGAAGCAAACCCAGAATCATGCAAGTACGTGACATTCTTTTGGTTCCTTTGGTTTTTTTTTAACAAAACTTTGTGTGTAGGTGTGATTCTTATGTTGTTTGGAATCATATTACTCATTATTTCGCTGGTGTGCCCCTTGGGAACTGGATTTTTAGTGACAACTCTAGTGCTTATATTTGCTCCTTTCTTTTATTTCCTGATTTATTCTTATTGTATCTTATCAAACAGTGGCGAACGATTACTACCTTGAATAATGCAATATATAAGTAACCATATTCTATCTTAACTAAGTAGCTCTTCTTAATGAGACATGTTTAGGTTGAAAGTTTATAAATATAAACATAAATATAAATATATATATAAATATAACTATTTTCTGCTAGTAATTATGAAAATTTTAAATATAATTTGTAAAACACAAATCAACACTAAAATAGTTTATAGGTTATAAATATGTTTATAAATTTTATAATAACAACTGTTAAATGGTTGAATATTCCAGAATGTCCAAACATATATCAACTGCTAACAATGGATTTGCTTAAGCAAAATAATCATTTATAAAAATAAGAAAAAATTTATTTGGCAAAAAAAAATTTACTACCAAATAATTGTGATCTAAATCACAATAATCACTCAAAGACACACCACACATCCCCAACTCTATTGTAAGATTGGATGAGAAATGTGAATGGATTCTCTAGGTTTAATCAAGCTCACTAAAGCCTTAAATTGGCTCAAAATCTAAAAGATTTGCTATTGAAATTTGTAATTCAGCATATAATGATCACTCTTCTCATCTTCCTCCTAATCACAATTCTAGAAAACTTTGTATTTACTAGTATACATAGCTTCATATATAGATTTCATTCCTTGTTAATTTCAATAGTTTAGATTTACAATATGAGCTTGGTGGCTGATTTCCTGTATATCATAAGCCATTACTACCATTTTTGGTTTGCTTAAGCAAAACTGTAGGAAGACTGAAATGGTAGTGACTATACTTGAAATATGCTTGAATATTCTAGGATGTTTTACAATCTAATGGTTATTATTCATTTAAATTAATCTTGTATTTATAATTTATAAACATGTTTATAATTTATAAAATTTCATAAACACTTTCTAGTATATTCTATTTTATTCTACCATCTATGCAATAAGATTGATCTTATGTTTATAATTATGAATTTCCATTTGATCAAATGGATTAATAAATAAGAATAACACAACTATTAAGAAAATCAAAAATTGTTACATAGAAAATTATTAATCACGTAGGCTAACATGGGACAATATCAAACTAAAAATATGAAGTATTAAGATGGTTTAATAAAACAAAACTGAACAATTAATCTAGTAATTTTGGTGTAAAATTGGAGCTACACAATGGAATTAGGCAAAGCTCTTAATTCCTGTTTAGGAACAATCTCTTGGAAGATAACTTTGAGCAAGGAAGCTTTTTGCTTGAATCCATACCCTCATATATGTTTGAGCAGGGTTATTATAAATTCAAGAATAAATAAAGGCTATAATAAAAAGTGGAGAAAAGAAATGTAAATGCATGGAATTTAAGTGTGAGTTTGTGTTCGTGCTCCTGGATCTTTATCTATGGGAGATTTCCCCCTTTTGTTTGCTCAATCTATTCTCTTTTCTCTTGGCTCTCCAGAAATTATGGCTCCTACTCGAAAGCCTGTGCTTGCATCGCTCCTCTCATGCCTGGTCATCACTGCGGCTTTTCTCTCCAAAATATAAATGAGTTTTCTTGTACCCGTAGATGGACTTAGGACAGTCGTCCGAGATGTAGATCGTATAGTAGATGTGCATTTCACGTAGACGATGCTTCCATAAGTATGGATAGTGCTGTCCTTTTGGAAAGTGCTGGTTTGTCCGATCATCGCAACCGTGTCAACATAATCGAAAACGCACAACTGGATGTATGGCCGCTGCGGCTGCCTGGAGGAAGCGCGATCGGTCTTCGATTCTACGTCGGATCCCAATCTCTTCTCTTGGAATCTCACCCTCCAGGCCTACATTCGCAACCACGACCTGGAGCAGGCGCGATCGGTCCTGGAAAGCATACCGCGGCAGGAGATTGTGTCCAGCAACGGCACGATCTCGGCATACGCCGTGGCCGGGGACGTGCAGCGCGCCAGCTCTTCGATCGCATCCCATTCCATCACCTGGAACCCGATGATCGAGATGTACTCGCAGGGTTATTCCAGCAGAAAACAGCGCTTCTCAAAATCTAGAAATTGTATACGCTTCCACTGCCGCGAGCGCTGCCTTCAGGGTCAATGAACGTGTCCTCCGACTCGAAATTCACAACCAGCAAAGACTGTGACGAATCCAGCAGAGTAGACCCGGCGAGCAAGATCATCCATTTCTTGACCACTATATTTTCTCGAGTCAAGCTTAACTTCAAAGAGCAAAACATGGCCTAGAAACATGGCCTAGCCGTGTAAAGGAAGGCTAAGATCCACAGAAAAAACGTCATGGAAAACACACAGAGAGTTCTCCTATGGAGCACTGTAGTTTGCCGATGGATCGCCATGGTCGTCGCTGGTGTGGACACAGAAACTATCGAGATTTTGCAGCAACCAAACGAGTGAAAAATAGGTGGCCATAGAGACTGGAAACCTCCAAATACGCTGCGTTCTAGCTGATAGTCGTCAGCTGCTCTATACCGATGGCTTTCCAGTAAGAAACGTGTTTAACCGTGTTATATGTGCTTGCTTCAATGGAGCGTCCAACACCGCTCAAACAGGAGGCTTGGACATGCGAGTGATAGTAAGCAAGATAAGCAGGGTCTGACCTGAGGTTCTGCTCCGCCTCCACCACATCCAGCAGCTGATGATATCTCCAGAGGATCTCAAGGTCTGTCAATCTTTCTCCTCGAGTTTTAACAAGTTTGTCCTTTTACTGAGATCTTGATTATCTCTTAAGGTTTCTAAGCAATGCACGGCGTTATTGCTTTCTACAAAGACACAACGAGAGTCCTTGTTAACACTCTTGGATTTCAAAGTTATGGAGGCACACGCTCCATACGTCTGGGTGGGATGTTTTCTCAGAAATCCTGGAGGTCTCGAGTTTTCTTGACTTTTAGGGAAGGTCAGGTATGGACGTCCATGAGCAAGATGAGATAGCAGTTTCGCAATGGTTTCAAGAAGCATGAGCCGCAGGTCTTCGAGCTCATAACCTTTCCAAAGTTTGGCATTGGACAGCGTGCGTTTCTCATCCAGACTCAAGGTATGTATATGGCCGTTGTGCATTTTTTATGGTTTTTATGTTTTTGATAGAGGGAAACATACTGTGGGACTGCATCTCATTTCTAGACGATGCCACAGTGGCGATAATCAAGTCACTAGGTGGATTGAGAGCGATTGCCATTTCTCACCCGTATTACTACAGCACAAGGCTTCCCGGTTTATACCCGCGAATGGTATTGTCTACCTTTGTTTCTCTCTTTCATTTCGATCTCTCTGTATCCATACTTTTGCAGAATGGTTTACCAGCACGAAAAGGTGAAGTTCTACTATGGGAGGGACTCACGCTTTTAGCCTTGCACAAATCCTCCACTGGTCTCATGGAGCTCAAGGAGAGGTGTTTTATTCACTGGAGATATCTTACAGGTATAAACTTCTGTCGTTTACAAACTTTGTTTTCGTTTTGTTTTCCTCACTCCATGTTTGATTTGTAGGTGGGGATAAACAACAAAACAGTGAGCATAATGAGATCGTACCCAAAGTATATACCACTCGTCCATGTTTGATTTGTAGGTGGGGATGGACAACAAAATAGTGATGATAGTGAGATCGTATCTAAACTATGTACCACTCTTGTCAAGCCACACTAAAAGGATAGGCCAGGTGATCGAGCCATGGGATTTTGGGAGGCTCTACATTGCGTTTCAGGACAGAAAGGATGACGCTGCTTAAGCATCACAATTATTGATTGACTCTCAAGTAATGAATCAGACTGAAACTCGAGATGCTTTTCTGATTATGATTTGCCATAACATTGTTTCCAAAGTTAAATTGGACATTTGTTTTTGTGAGGGAGAAAATAACTTAGAGTGAGCAGTGTTACAGCATACACAGTGGATACATGGAGTTTCTTTTTACAAGATCTTTTGTCTAACCTCTAAGCTTCTCCAATGCTTGTCTTACATCTTCAACTCTTGCAATTTCCTTAAGCAGATTGTTTATCTTCTTCAATTCATCATATTTATGCCCTTTCCTGTTTTTGAATGCCCGGATGACAATTCCATTGCTGGGCTGCAAGCAAAAGGACTCTGGCTTGTCGTCCACGATCACCGTGTGTTTGAGGTCCCGCCCTAACCTTGAAAGATTTTTCACAACCTTTCTCCCTCCCACTTCCTTGGGCGAGCATAAATCTCTGTAGAGGCGATGGGTGAAGAGATTCCCAGCTGGGTCGAGCCTATCCAATATCCTGTCCGCATAAGGCTTCACCGCTCGAGTAAAAACCACGATCTCATATATTTGACTCATCTCATTTAGAAATGTATCCACACCTGGTCGCTTTGCGACAAGGTAGCGCTGCAATGGAAGAGTCCTCCCACTGAAGAGCTTGAGGGACGCTGTGGCCTTGTGGGCATGAATTAGTGTCTCGTCCATGTCTAACACAAGCGTGGGTTTCTCCTCCAAAGCTGGCGGTAATAGTGGAGAACTGTGTGTCACCTTTACCTTTTTGTTCTTTACTTTGGTCACCATGTCGAGCGTTGCAAAACTCCAATCGCCATATTCTCTCACCCTCTTCATCGCTCTGATAAAAAAGAAAGAAAGAACGCAAGCCCTAATTGTAAAGGATCTTTATAAATCAAATTAAATACACTTTACTAAATATACCATAATTCTGGCCGTAGAAAATTTCATGGATTTTTTCTCTCAGGCTCGCTGGTTTTGGAGGTGGGAGCGTTGTCCCGCTTAAATGGCAATCCACAGTTTGAGAGGAGTATGCGCAGTACTAGTGAACTGAACTTACTGGGAACGAACCTTGACATAACTGAAGATTTGTTCGATTGCATATTCTGGAACGCAGAGAGAGTTCAGTAGCTTTGGTTCTGACCTCCAGCATGGATGTAAAGCGGATTTGAGTCACTGAAGGCGGAAGTTTGCTGGCTGAGAAAGAATCCAACAGCTCCAAATTTCCTTTAGCTCCAATCTAAACTCGCCTCAAGATGTTCGTCTTTCGCTGATATCTATTCTGACTTGAGCATTGAGAACGTGTGTTTCATTGTAGATCATTCCAACCATGGTGGTGAAACCATGGTTATCAACATTAAGGTGCTACTACTGCCACTGGAGTAAAAGTTTGTGCGAGCTTTTGTGTGAGTTCGTGCTCTTGGATGTTTATCTATGGGAGATTGCCCCCTTTGTTTGCTCAATCTATTCTCTTTTCTCTTGGCTCTCCAGAAATTATGGCTCCTACTCGAAAGCTTGTGCTTGCATCGCTCCTCTCATGCCTGGTCATCACTGCGGCTTTTGCTGCTGCAGTTTTGTTTAGTTCTTTCTCCAAAATCTCGATAGTTTCTGTGTCCACACCAGCGACGACCATGGCGATCCATCAGCAAACTACAGTGCTCAATAGTATAACTCTCTGTGTGTTTTTCATGACGTTTTTTCTGTGGATCTTAGCCTTCCTTTACACGGCTAGGCCATGTTTTGTTCTTTGAAGTTAAGCTTGACTCGAGAAAATAAAGTGGTCAAGAAATGGATGATCTTGCTCGCCGGGTCTACTCTGCTGGATTTGTCACAGTCTTCGCTGGTTGTGAATTTCGAGTCGGAGGACACGTTCATTGACCCTGAAGGCAGCGCTCGCGGCAGTGGAAGCGTATACAATTTCTAGATTTTGAAAAGCGCTGTTTTCTGCTAGATTCCAAGTGGCTTGCAGGTTGGTGGTGGTATAAACTCGGGGAACGCGAAGTCCTATCTCGATACTGGAGCAAGTCATGTGTTGTCACCTCGGTAAGTGTTTTATATCAGTCTTGGAATTTAACTCTTAACATTGTGTGTGTGTGAGATTAAGTTTTGCTCTGGCATTCTCTCGAGAGCGAGGAGTGCAATGCGATCGTCTGGATGGCAATGGTGCCGGATTTCGCTCACAAGGGACTCCTCTTGGAAACTCGAGTTTGGTGCCCGGAAGAGGCTCATTGCTTCTTGGAGGTGGCCAATTCCAGAGATAGGCCGAGAGGAGCACTGTGCGCGCCATCTTGCTCTTGTAAGGCATTCGATCGTAAATAAACTTTGCATTTTCAAGATGGTTTCTAGAGGTGAGCATATGGATCATTGTTGCCCAAGAGATGAGCCATCTTTAGGAAGGAATCTAGTGCCTCGTCCAAATGCCCATTCGAGGCATATGCGCCAAGCATGGAGTTCCAAGCCACCACGTGCCTCTCAAACAAACATTTAGCCTCCTCCAAGCAGCCATGAGGTGCATAGCCGTCGATCATAGCCGTAAATGCCACCTCATTAAGATCCGGGGCATCTTCAAAGAGATTCTTTGCTTGCCCCATATGCCCGGCCTGGTGATCATGGTCGTCCATGTTACTAGGGCATTCTATCAAAGAGATCTTTAGCTTCATCCAGCCGCTGGTTCTGGCAGTGGCCTTGGATCATGGCCGTCCACGGCGCGTGAGAGATGCCCGTTATGGGCCATGGCCGTGCTAGAAACGGGGGTTTGCTCCGGCATGGAGTGGAATACCGCCTCCGCCTCGCCGAGATTGCCACTCGGCGAGTACATCTCGATCATCGCGTTCCAGGTGATGGAATTCTTTGCAGGGATGCGATCGAAGAGCTGCTTGGCGCGCTGCACGTCCCCGGCCGCGGCTTCAGGTCGTGGTTGCGAATGTAGGCCTGGAGGGTGAGATTCCAAGAGAAGAGATTGGGATCCGAGGTAGAATCGAAGACCGATCGCGCTTCCTCCAGGCAGCCGCAGCGGCCATACATCTGGACGAGGAGATTTCGCAGGAAGACGCTGTTGTTGTGGTCGCTGTGAAGGATCTGGGCGATGGATCCGGCGGCCATTGTCGCAAGATGTGACGAGGGCGGCAAGCTCTTATGCGCATCGCATCATGGCCGTTGGATGATGGGGACGTCCGAGGTTCAAGTCCTGGCAGGTTCTAGCTTCCCGATGTTTTTCACGGCATCCCCCATCGCTCAGCTGCACTCCAAATGCCGGGCGCGCTCGTCAACGACAGAATTAACTTCCTGGACACAAGTGGAAGAGAGCAGGCTGGTTTTCCGGGCGATGGATCAAAAGGATATCATCTCCTAATGTCTTGCGCAGCTTACGTTTGGGTTGAGCGTCTCAGCGGCAGTGCAAGATCTATCCTATCCGGTAAGCTCTTATTCCGTTTGCTCTCTTCTTGTTTCTTCTTTTCCAGTTGTGAGTTTTCGATTATGTTGACACGGTTGTGATGATCGGACAAGCCAGCACTTTCCAAAAGGACAGCACTATCCATACTTATGGAAGCATCGTCTACGTGAAATGCACATCTACTATACGATCTACATCTCGGACGACTGTCCTAAGTCCATCTACCGGTACAAGAAAACTCATTTATATTTTGGAGAGAACTAAACGAGTGAAAAAAAGGTGGCCATAGAGACTGGAACCCTCCAAATACGCTGCGTTCTAGCTGATAGTCGTCAGCTGCTCTATACCGATGGCTTTCCAGTAAGAAACGTGTTTAACCGTGTTATATGCGCTTGCTTCAATGGAGCGTTCAACACCGCTCAAACAGGAGGCTTGGACATGCGAGTGATAGTAAGCAAGATAAGCAGGGTCTGACCTGAGGTTCTGCTCCGCCTCCACCACATCCAGCAGCTGATGATATCTCCAGAGGATCTCAAGGTCTGTCAATCTTTCTCCTCGAGTTTTAACAAGTTTGTCCTTTTACTGAAATCTTGGTTATCTCTTAAGGTTTCTAAGCAATGCACGGCGTTATTGCTTTCTACAAAGACACCACGAGAGTCCTTGTTAACACTCTTGGATTTCAAAGTTATGGAGGCACACGCTCCATACGTCTGGGTGGGATGTTTTCTCAGAAATCCTGGAGGTCTCGAGTTTTCTTGACTTTTAGTTTTAGGGAAGGTCAGGTATGGACGTCCATGAGCAAGATGAGATTGCAGTTTCGCAATGGTTTCAAGACGCATGAGCCGCAGGTCTTCGAGATCATAACCTTTCCAAAGTTTGGCATTGGACAGCGTGCGTTTCTCATCCAGACTCAAGGTATGTATATGGCCGTTGTGCATTTTTTATGGTTTTTATGTTTTTGATAGAGGGAAACATACTGTGGGACTGCATCTCATTTCTAGACGATGCCACAGTGGCGATAATCAAGTCACTAGGTGGATTGAGAGCGATTGCCATTTCTCACCCGTATTACTACAGCACAAGGCTTCCCGGTTTATACCCGCGAATGGTATTGTCTACCTTTGTTTCTCTCTTTCATTTCGATCTCTCTGTATCCATACTTTTGCAGAATGGTTTACCAGCACGAAAAGGTGAAGTTCTACTATGGGAGGGACTCACGCTTTTAGCCTTGCACAAATCCTCCACTGGTCTCATGGAGCTCAAGGAGAGGTGTTTTATTCACTGGAGATATCTTACAGGTATAAACTTCTGTCGTTTACAAACTTTGTTTTCGTTTTGTTTTCCTCACTCCATGTTTGATTTGTAGGTGGGGATAAACAACAAAACAGTGAGCATAATGAGATCGTACCCAAAGTATATACCACTCGTCCATGTTTGATTTGTAGGTGGGGATGGACAACAAAATAGTGATGATAGTGAGATCGTATCTAAACTATGTACCACTCTTGTCAAGCCACACTAAAAGGATAGGCCAGGTGATCGAGCCATGGGATTTTGGGAGGCTCTACATTGCGTTTCAGGACAGAAAGGATGACGCTGCTTAAGCATCACAATTATTGATTGACTCTCAAGTAATGAATCAGACTGAAACTCGAGATGCTTTTCTGATTATGATTTGCCATAACATTGTTTCCAAAGTTAAATTGGACATTTGTTTTTGTGAGGGAGAAAATAACTTAGAGTGAGCAGTGTTACAGCATACACAGTGGATACATGGAGTTTCTTTTTACAAGATCTTTTGTCTAACCTCTAAGCTTCTCCAATGCTTGTCTTACATCTTCAACTCTTGCAATTTCCTTAAGCAGATTGTTTATCTTCTTCAATTCATCATATTTATGCCCTTTCCTGTTTTTGAATGCCCGGATGACAATTCCATTGCTGGGCTGCAAGCAAAAGGACTCTGGCTTGTCGTCCACGATCACCGTGTGTTTGAGGTCCCGCCCTAACCTTGAAAGATCTTTCACAACCTTTCTCCCTCCCACTTCCTTGGGCGAGCATGAATCTCTGTAGAGGCGATGGGTGAAGAGATTCCCAGCTGGGTCGAGCCTATCCAATATCCTGTCCGCATAAAGCTTCACCGCCCGAGTAAAAACCACGATCTCGTATATTTGACTCATCTCATTTAGAAATGTATCCACACCTGGCCGCTTTGCGACAAGGTAGCGCTGCAATGGAAGAGTCTTCCCACTGAAGAGCTTGAGGGACGCTGTGGCCTTGTGGGCATGAATTAGTGTCTCATCCATGTCTAACACAAGCGTGGGTTTCTCCTCCAAAGCTGGCGGTAGTAGTGGAGAACTGTGTGTCACCTTTACCTTTTTGTTCTTTACTTTGGTCACCATGTCGAGCGTTGCAAAACTCCAATCGCCATATTCTCTCGCCCTCTTCATCGCTCTGATAAAAAAGAAAGAAAGAACGCAAGCCCTAATTGTAAAGGATCTTTATAAATCAAATTAAATACACTTTACTAAATATACCATAATTCTGGCCGTAGAAAATTTCATGGATTTTTTCTCTCAGGCTCGCTGGTTTTGGAGGTGGGAGCGTTGTCCCGCTTAAATGGCAATCCACAGTTTGAGAGGAGTATGCGCAGTACTAGTGAACTGAACTTACTGGGAACGAACCTTGACATAACTGAAGATTTGTTCGATCACATATTCTGGAACGCAGAGAGAGTTCAGTAGCTTTGGTTCTGACCTCCAGCATGGATGTGAAGCGGATTTGAGTCACTGAAGGCGGAATTTTGCCGGCTGAGAAAGAATCCAACAGCTCCAAATTTCCTTTAGCTCCAATCTAAACTCGCCTCAAGATGTTCGTCTTTTGCTGATATCTATTCTGACTTGAGCATTGAGAACGTGTGTTTCATTGTAGATCATTCCAACCATGGTGGTGAAACCATGGTTATCAACGTTAAGGTGCTACTACAGCCACTGGAGGAAAAGTTTGTTCGAGCTTTTGTGTGAGTTCGTGCTCTTGGATCTTTATCTATGGGCGATTGCCCCCTTTGTTTGCTCAATCTATTCTCTTTTCTCTTGGCTCTCCAGAAATTATGGCTCCTACTCGAAAGCTTGTGCTTGCATCGCTCCTCTCATGCCTGGTCATCACTGCGGCTTTTGCTGCTGCAGTTTTGTTTAGTTCTTTCTCCAAAATCTCGATAGTTTCTGTGTCCACACCAGCGACGACCATGGCGATCCATCAGCAAACTACAGTGCTCAATAGTATAACTCTCTGTGTGTTTTTCATGACGTTTTTTCTGTGGATCTTAGCCTTCCTTTACACGGCTAGGCCATGTTTTGTTCTTTGAAGTTAAGCTTGACTCGAGAAAATAAAGTGGTCAAGAAATGGATGATCTTGCTCGCCGGGTCTACTCTGCTGGATTTGTCACAGTCTTCGCTGGTTGTGAATTTCGAGTCGGAGGACACGTTCATTGACCCTGAAGGCAGCGCTCGCGGCAGTGGAAGCGTATACAATTTCTAGATTTTGAAAAGCGCTGTTTTCTGCTAGATTCCAAGTGGCTTGCAGGTTGGTGGTGGTATAAACTCGGGGAACGCGAAGTCCTATCTCGATACTGGAGCAAGTCATGTGTTGTCACCTCGGTAAGTGTTTTATATCAGTCTTGGAATTTAACTCTTAACATTGTGTGTGTGTGAGATTAAGTTTTTGCTCTGGCATTCTCTCGAGAGCGAGGAGTGCAATGCGATCGTCTGGATGGCAATGGTGCCGGATTTCGCTCACAAGGGACTCCTCTTGGAAACTCGAGTTTGGTGCCCGGAAGAGGCTCATTGCTTCTTGGAGGTGGCCAATTCCAGAGATAGGCCGAGAGGAGCACTGTGCGCGCCATCTTGCTCTTGTAAGGCATTCGATCGTAAATAAACTTTGCATTTTCAAGATGGTTTCTAGAGGTGAGCATATGGATCATTGTTGCCCAAGAGATGAGCCATCTTTAGGAAGGAATCTAGTGCCAAATGCCCATTCGAGGCATATGCGCCAAGCATGGAGTTCCAAGCCACCACGTGCCTCTCAAACAAACATTTAGCCTCCTCCAAGCAGCCATGAGGTGCATAGCCGTCGATCATAGCCGTAAATGCCACCTCATTAAGATCCGGGGCATCTTCAAAGAGATTCTTTGCTTGCTCCATATGCCCGGCCTGGTGATCATGGTCGTCCATGTTACTAGGGCATTCTATCAAAGAGATCTTTAGCTTCATCCAGCCGCTGGTTCTGGCAGTGGCCTTGGATCATGGCCGTCCACGGCGCGTGAGAGATGCCCGTTATGGGTCATGGCCGTGCTAGAAACGGGGGTTTGCTCCGGCATGGAGTGGAATACCGCCTCCGCCTCGCCGAGATTGCCACTCGGCGAGTACATCTCGATCATCGCGTTCCAGGTGATGGAATTCTTTGCAGGGATGCGATCGAAGAGCTGCTTGGCGCGCTGCACGTCCCCGGCCGCGGCTTCAGGTCGTGGTTGCAAATGTAGGCCTGGAGGGTGAGATTCCAAGAGAAGAGATTGGGATCCGAGGTAGAATCGAAGACCGATCGCGCTTCCTCCAGGCAGCCGCAGCGGCCATACATCTGGACGAGGAGATTTCGCAGGAAGACGCTGTTGTTGTGGTCGCTGTGAAGGATCTGGGCGATGGATCCGGCGGCCATTGTCGCAAGATGTGACGAGGGCGGCAAGCTCTTATGCGCATCGCATCATGGCCGTTGGATGATGGGGACGTCCGAGGTTCAAGTCCTGGCAGGTTCTAGCTTCCCGATGTTTTTCATGGCATCCCCGATCGCTCAGCTGCACTCCAAATGCCGGGCGCGCTCGTCAACGACAGAATTAACTTCCTGGACACAAGTGGAAGAGAGCAGGCTGGTTTTCCGGGCGATGGATCAAAAGGATATCATCTCCTAATGTCTTGCGCAGCTTACGTTTGGGTTGAGCGTCTCAGCGGCAGTGCAAGATCTATCCTATCCGGTAAGCTCTTATTCCGTTTGCTCTCTTCTTGTTTCTTCGTTTCCAGTTGTGAGTTTTCGATTATGTTGACACGGTTGTGATGATCGGACAAACCAGCACTTTCCAAAAGGACAGCACTATCCATACTTATGGAAGCATCGTCTACGTGAAATGCACATCTACTATACGATCTACATCTCGGACGACTGTCCTAAGTCCATCTACGGGTACAAGAAAACTCATTTATATTTTGGAGAGAACTAAACGAGTGAAAAATAGGTGGCCATAGAGACTGGAACCCTCCAAATACGCTGCGTTCTAGCTGATAGTCGTCAGCTGCTCTATACCGATGGCTTTCCAGTAAGAAACGTGTTTAACCGTGTTATATGCGCTTGCTTCAATGGAGCGTCCAACACCGCTCAAACAGGAGGCTTGGACATGCGAGTGATAGTAAGCAAGATAAGCAGGGTCTGACCTGACCACATCCAGCAGCTGATGATATCTCCAGAGGATCTCAAGGTCTGTCAATCTTTCTCCTCGAGTTTTAACAAGTTTGTCCTTTTACTGAGATCTTGGTTATCTCTTAAGGTTTCTAAGCAATGCACGGCGTTATTGCTTTCTACAAAGACACAACGAGAGTCCTTGTTAACACTCTTGGATTTCAAAGTTATGGAGGCACACGCTCCATACGTCTGGGTGGGATGTTTTCTCAGAAATCCTGGAGGTCTCGAGTTTTCTTGACTTTTAGTTTTAGGGAAGGTCAGGTATGGACGTCCATGAGCAAGATGAGATAGCAGTTTCGCAATGGTTTCAAGAAGCATGAGCCGCAGGTCTTCGAGATCATAACCTTTTTAAAGTTTGGCATTGGACAGCGTGCGTTTCTCATCCAGACTCAAGGTATGTATGTTTGGAGCTATGGCCGTTGTGCATTATTTATGGTTTTTATGTTTTTGATGGAGGGAAACATACTGTGGGACTGCATCTCATTTCTAGACGATGCCACAGTGGCGATAATCAAGTCACTAGGTGGATTGAGAGCGATTGCCACCTCTCACCCGCATTACTACAGCACAAACTCTCGATGGAGCGAGGCTTTTGGAGGCGTCCCGGTTTATATCCACGGATGGTATTGTCTACCTTTGTTTCTCTCTTTCATTTCGATCTCTCTGTATCCATACTTTTGCAGAGTGGTTTACCAGCATGAAAAGGTTAAGTTCTACTATGGGAGGGACTCACGCTTTTAGCCATTTTTCTGTTGCACAAATCCTCCACTGGTCTCATGGAGCTCAAGGGAGAGGTGTTTTATTCACTGGAGATATCTTACAGGTATAAACTTCCGTCGTTTACAAACTTTGTTTTCGTTTTGTTTTCCTCACTCCATGTTTGATTTGTAGGTGGGGATGGACAACAAAACAGTGAGCATAATGAGATCGTATCCAAGCTATATACCACTCTCGTCCATGTTTGATTTGTAGGTGGGGATGGACAACAAAATAGTGAGCATAATGAGATCGTATCTAAACTATATACCACTCTTGTCAAGCCACACTAAAAGGATAGGCCAGGTGATCGAGCCATGGGATTTTGGGAGGCTCTACGTTGTGTTTCAGGACAGAGAGGATGACGCTGCTTAAGCATCACAATTATCGATTGACTCTCAAGTAATGAATCAGACTGAAACTCGATATGCTTTTCTGATTATGATTTGCCATAACATTGTTTCCAAAGTTAAATTGGACATTTGTTTCTGTGAGGGAGAAAATAACTTAGAGTGAGCAGTGTTACAGCATACACAGTGGATACATGGAGTTTCTTTTTACAAGATCTTTTGTCTAACCTCTAAGCTTCTCCAATGCTTGTCTTACATCTTCAACTCTTGCAATTTCCTTAAGCAGATTGCTTATCTTCTTCAATTCATCATATTTATGCCCTTTCCTGTTTTTGAATGCCCGGATGACAATTCCATTGCTGGGCTGCAAGCAAAAGGACTCTGGCTTGTCGTCCACGATCACCGTGTGTCTGAGGTCCCGCCCTAACCTTGAAAGATCTTTCACAACCTTTCTCCCTCCCACTTCCTTGGGCGAGCATGAATCTCTGTAGAGGCGATGGGTGAAGAGATTCCCAGCTGGGTCGAGCCTATCCAATATCCTGTCCGCATAAGGCTTCACCGCTCGAGTAAAAACCACGATCTCATATATCTGACTCATCTCATTTAGAAATGTATCCACACCCGGCCGCTTTGCGACAAGGTAGCGCTGCAATGGAAGAATCTTCCCACTGAAGAGCTTGAGGGACGCTGTGGACTTGTGGGCATGGATTAGTGTCTCGTCCATGTCTAACACAAGCGTGGGTTTTTCCTCCAAAGCTGGTGGTAGTAGTGGAGAACTGTGTGTCACCTTTACCTTTTTGTTCTTTACTTTGGTCACCATGTCGAGCGTTGCAAAACTCCAATCGCCATATTCTCTCGCCCTCTTCATCGCTCTGATAAAAAAGAAAGAAAGAACGCAAGCCCTAATTGTAAAGGATCTTTATAAATCAAATTAAATACACTTTACTAAATATACCATAATTCTGGCCGTCGAAAATTTCATGGATTTTTTCTCTCAGGCTCGCTGGTTTTGGAGGTGGGAGCGTTGTCCCGCTTAAATGGCAATCCACAGTTTGAGAGGAGTATGCGCAGTACTAGTGAACTGAACTTACTGGGAACGAACCTTGACATAACTGAGGATTTGTTCGATTGCATATTCTGGAACGCAGAGAGAGTTCAGTAGCTTTGGTTCTGACCTCCAGCATGGATGTAAAGCGGATTTGAGTCACTGAAGGCGGAAGTTTGCCGGCTGAGAAAGAATCCAACAGCTCCAAATTTCCTTCTCAAGATGTTTGTCTTTCGCTGATATCTATTCTGACTTGAGCATTGAGAACGTGTGTTTCATTGTAGATCATTCCAACCATGGTGGTGAAACCATGGTTATCAACGTTAAGGTGCTACTACTGCCACTGGAGTAAAAGTTTGTGCGAGCTTTTGTGTGAGTTCCTGCTCTTGGATGTTTATCTATGGGAGATTGCCCCCTTTGTTTGCTCAATCTATTCTCTTTTCTCTTGGCTCTCCAGAAATTATGGCTCCTACTCGAAAGCTTGTGCTTGCATCGCTCCTCTAATGCCTGGTCATCACTGCGGCTTTTGCCGCTGCAGTTTTGTTTAGTTCTTTCTCCAAAATCTCGATAGTTTCTGTGTCCACACCAGCGACGACCATGGCGATCCATCAGCAAACTACAGTGCTCAATAGTATAACTCTCTGTGTGTTTTTCATGACGTTTTTTCTGTGGATCTTAGCCTTCCTTTACACGGCTAGGCCATGTTTTGTTCTTTGAAGTTAAGCTTGACTCGAGAAAATAAAATGGTCAAGAAATGGATGATCTTGCTCGCCGGGTCTACTCTGCTGGATTTGTCACAGTCTTTGCTGGTTGTGAATTTCGAGTCGGAGGACACGTTCATTGACCCTGAAGGCAGCGCTCGCGGCAGTGGAAGCGTATACAATTTCTAGATTTTGAAAAGCGCTGTTTTCTGCTAGATTCCAAGTGGCTTGCAGGTTGGTGGTGGTATAAACTCGGGGAACGCGAAGTCCTATCTCGATACTGGAGCAAGTCATGTGTTGTCACCTCGGTAAGTGTTTTATATCAGTCTTGGAATTTAACTCTTAACATTGTGTGTGTGTGAGATTAAGTTTTGCTCTGGCATTCTCTCGAGAGCGAGGAGTGCAATGCGATCGTCTGGATGGCAATGGTGCCGGATTTCGCTCACAAGGGACTCCTCTTGGAAACTCGAGTTTGGTGCCCGGAAGAGGCTCATCGCTTCTTGGAGGTGGCCAATTCCAGAGATAGGCCGAGAGGAGCACTGTGCGCGCCATCTTGCTCTTGTAAGGCATTCGATCGTAAATAAACTTTGCATTTTCAAGATGGTTTCTAGAGGTGAGCATATGGATCATTGTTGCCCAAGAGATGAGCCATCTTTAGGAAGGAATCTAGTGCCTCGTCCAAATGCCCATTCGAGGCATATGCGCCAAGCATGGAGTTCCAGGCCACCACGTGCCTCTCAAACAAACATTTAGCCTCCTCCAAGCAGCCATGAGGTGCATAGCCGTCGATCATAGCCGTAAATGCCACCTCATTAAGATCCGGGGCATCTTCAAAGAGATTCTTTGCTTGCTCCATATGCCCGGCCTGGTGATCATGGTCGTCCATGTTACTAGGGCATTCTATCAAAGAGATCTTTAGCTTCATCCAGCCGCTGGTTCTGGCAGTGGCCTTGGATCATGGCCGTCCACGGCGCGTGAGAGATGCCCGTTATGGGCCATGGCCGTGCTAGAAACGGGGGTTTGCTCCGGCATGGAGTGGAATACCGCCTCCGCCTCGCCGAGATTGCCACTCGGCGAGTACATCTCGATCATCGCGTTCCAGGTGATGGAATTCTTTGCAGGGATGCGATCGAAGAGCTGCTTGGCGCGCTGCACGTCCCCGGCCGCGGCTTCAGGTCGTGGTTGCGAATGTAGGCCTGGAGGGTGAGATTCCAAGAGAAGAGATTGGGATCCGAGGTAGAATCGAAGACCGATCGCGCTTCCTCCAGGCAGCCGCAGCGGCCATACATCTGGACGAGGAGATTTCGCAGGAAGACGCTGTTGTTGTGGTCGCTGTGAAGGATCTGGGCGATGGATCCGGCGGCCATTGTCGCAAGATGTGACGAGGGCGGCAAGCTCTTATGCGCATCGCATCATGGCCGTTGGATGATGGGGACGTCCGAGGTTCAAGTCCTGGCAGGTTCTAGCTTCCCGATGTTTTTCATGGCACGCTGCGAGAACTCATCCCCCATCGCTCAGCTGCACTCCAAATGCCGGGCGCGCTCGTCAACGACAGAATTAACTTCCTGGACACAAGTGGAAGAGAGCAGGCTGGTTTTCCGGGCGATGGATCAAAAGGATATCATCTCCTAATGTCTTGCGCAGCTTACGTTTGGGTTGAGCGTCTCAGCGGCAGTGCAAGATCTATCCTATCCGGTAAGCTCTTATTCCGTTTGCTCTCTTCTTGTTTCTTCGTTTCCAGTTGTGAGTTTTCGATTATGTTGACACGGTTGTGATGATCGGACAAACCAGCACTTTCCAAAAGGACAGCACTATCCATACTTATGGAAGCATCGTCTACGTGAAATGCACATCTACTATACGATCTACATCTCGGACGACTGTCCTAAGTCCATCTACGGGTACAAGAAAACTCATTTATATTTTGGAGAGAACTAAACGAGTGAAAAATAGGTGGCCATAGAGACTGGAACCCTCCAAATACGCTGCGTTCTAGCTGATAGTCGTCAGCTGCTCTATACCGATGGCTTTCCAGTAAGAAACGTGTTTAACCGTGTTATATGCGCTTGCTTCAATGGAGCGTCCAACACCGCTCAAACAGGAGGCTTGGACATGCGAGTGATAGTAAGCAAGATAAGCAGGGTCTGACCTGACCACATCCAGCAGCTGATGATATCTCCAGAGGATCTCAAGGTCTGTCAATCTTTCTCCTCGAGTTTTAACAAGTTTGTCCTTTTACTGAAATCTTGGTTATCTCTTAAGGTTTCTACGGCGTTATTGCTTTCTACAAAGACACAACGAGAGTCCTTGTTAACACTCTTGGATTTCAAAGTTATGGAGGCACACGCTCCATACGTCTGGGTGGGATGTTTTCTCAGAAATCCTGGAGGTCTCGAGTTTTCTTGACTTTTAGTTTTAGGGAAGGTCAGGTATGGACGTCCATGAGCAAGATGAGATTGCAGTTTCGCAATGGTTTCAAGAAGCATGAGCCGCAGGTCTTCGAGATCATAACCTTTCCAAAGTTTGGCATTGGACAGCGTGCGTTTCTCATCCAGACTCAAGGTATGTATATGGCCGTTGTGCATTTTTTATGGTTTTTATGTTTTTGATAGAGGGAAACATACTGTGGGACTGCATCTCATTTCTAGACGATGCCACAGTGGCGATAATCAAGTCACTAGGTGGATTGAGAGCGATTGCCACCTCTCACCCGCATTACTACAGCACAAACTCTCGATGGAGCGAGGCTTTTGGAGGCGTCCCGGTTTATACCCGGGAATGGTATTGTCTACCTTTGTTTCTCTCTTTCATTTCGATCTCTCTGTATCCATACTTTTGCAGAGTGGTTTACCAGCACGAAAAGGTGAAGTTCTACTATGGGAGGGACTCACGCTTTTAGCCTTGCACAAATCCTCCACTGGTCTCATGGAGCTCAAGGAGAGGTGTTTTATTCACTGGAGATATCTTACAGGTATAAACTTCTGTCGTTTACAAACTTTGTTTTCGTTTTGTTTTCCTCACTCCATGTTTGATTTGTAGGTGGGGATGGACAACAAAACAGTGAGCATAATGAGATCGTACCCAAAGTATATACCACTCGTCCATGTTTGATTTGTAGGTGGGGATGGACAACAAAATAGTGAGGATAGTGAGATCGTATCTAAACTATGTACCACTCTTGTCAAGCCACACTAAAAGGATAGGCCAGGTGATCGAGCCATGGGATTTTGGGAGGCTCTACGTTGAGTTTCAGGACAGAGAGGATGACGCTGCTTAAGCATCACAATTATTGATTGACTCTCAAGTAATGAATCAGACTGAAACTCGAGATGCTTTTCTGATTATGATTTGCCATAACATTGTTTCCAAAGTTAAATTGGACATTTGTTTTTGTGAGGGAGAAAATAACTTAGAGTGAGCAGTGTTACAGCATACACAGTGGATACATGGAGTTTCTTTTTACAAGATCTTTTGTCTAACCTCTAAGCTTCTCCAATGCTTGTCTTACATTTTCAACTCTTGCAATTTCCTTAAGCAGATTGCTTATCTTCTTCAATTCATCATATTTATGCCCTTTCCTGTTTTTGAATGCCCGGATGACAATTCCATTGCTGGGCTGCAAGCAAAAGGACTCTGGCTTGTCGTCCACGATCACCGTGTGTCTGAGGTCCCGCCCTAACCTTGAAAGATCTTTCACAACTTTTCTCCCTCCCACTTCCTTGGGCGAGCATGAATCTCTGTAGAGGCGATGGGTGAAGAGATTCCCAACTGGGTCGAGCCTATCCAATATCCTGTCCGCATAAGGCTTCACCGCTCGAGTAAAAACCACGATCTCATATATCTGACTCATCTCATTTAGAAATGTATCCACACCCGGCCGCTTTGCGACAAGGTAGCGCTGCAATGGAAGAATCTTCCCACTGAAGAGCTTGAGGGACGCTGTGGCCTTGTGGGCATGGATTAGTGTCTCGTCCATGTCTAACACAAGCGTGGGTTTTTCCTCCAAAGCTGGCGGTAGTAGTGGAGAATTGTGTGTCACCTTTACCTTTTTGTTCTTTACTTTGGTCACCATGTCGAGCGTTGCAAAACTCCAATCGCCATATTCTCTCGCCCTCTTCATCGCTCTGATAAAAAAGAAAGAAAGAACGCAAGCCCTAATTGTAAAGGATCTTTATAAATCAAATTAAATACACTTACTAAATATACCATCGTAGAAAATTTCATGGATTTTTTCTCTCAGGCTCGCTGGTTTTGGAGGTGGGAGCGTTGTCCCGCTTAAATGGCAATCCACAGTTTGAGAGGAGTATGCGCAGTACTAGTGAACTGAACTTACTGGGAACGAACCTTGACATAACTGAAGATTTGTTCGATTGCATATTCTGGAACGCAGAGAGAGTTCAGTAGCTTTGGTTCTGACCTCCAGCATGGATGTAAAGCGGATTTGAGTCACTGAAGGCGGAAGTTTGCTGGCTGAGAAAGAATCCAACAGCTCCAAATTTCCTTTAGCTCCAATCTAAACTCGCCTCAAGATGTTCGTCTTTCGCTGATATCTATTCTGACTTGAGCATTGAGAACGTGTGTTTCATTGTAGATCATTCCAACCATGGTGGTGAAACCATGGTTATCAACATTAAGGTGCTACTACTGCCACTGGAGTAAAAGTTTGTGCGAGCTTTTGTGTGAGTTCGTGCTCTTGGATGTTTATCTATGGGAGATTGCCCCCTTTGTTTGCTCAATCTATTCTCTTTTCTCTTGGCTCTCCAGAAATTATGGCTCCTACTCGAAAGCTTGTGCTTGCATCGCTCCTCTAATGCCTGGTCATCACTGCGGCTTTTGCTGCTGCAGTTTTGTTTAGTTCTTTCTCCAAAATCTCGATAGTTTCTGTGTCCACACCAGCGACGACCATGGCGATCCATCAGCAAACTACAGTGCTCAATAGTATAACTCTCTGTGTGTTTTTCATGACGTTTTTTCTGTGGATCTTAGTCTTCCTTTACACGGCTAGGCCATGTTTTGTTCTTTGAAGTTAAGCTTGACTCGAGAAAATAAAGTGGTCAAGAAATGGATGATCTTGCTCGCCGGGTCTACTCTGCTGGATTTGTCACAGTCTTCGCTGGTTGTGAATTTCGAGTCGGAGGACACGTTCATTGACCCTGAAGGCAGCGCTCGCGGCAGTGGAAGCGTATACAATTTCTAGATTTTGAAAAGCGCTGTTTTTCTGCTAGATTCCAAGTGGCTTGCAGGTTGGTGGTGGTATAAACTCGGGGAACGCGAAGTCCTATCTCGATACATGTGTTGTCACCTCGGTAAGTGTTTTATATCAGTCTTGGAATTTAACTCTTAACATTGTGTGTGTGTGAGATTAAGTTTTGCTCTGGCATTCTCTCGAGAGCGAGGAGTGCAATGCGATCGTCTGGATGGCAATGGTGCCGGATTTCGCTCACAAGGGACTCCTCTTGGAAACTCGAGTTTGGTGCCCGGAAGAGGCTCATTGCTTCTTGGAGGTGGCCAATTCCAGAGATAGGCCGAGAGGAGCACTGTGCGCGCCATCTTGCTCTTGTAAGGCATTCGATCGTAAATAAACTTTGCATTTTCAAGATGGTTTCTAGAGGTGAGCATATGGATCATTGTTGCCCAAGAGATGAGCCATCTTTAGGAAGGAATCTAGTGCCTCGTCCAAATGCCCATTCGAGGCATATGCGCCAAGCATGGAGTTCCAAGCCACCACGTGCCTCTCAAACAAACATTTAGCCTCCTCCAAGCAGCCATGAGGTGCATAGCCGTCGATCATAGCCGTAAATGCCACCTCATTAAGATCCGGGGCATCTTCAAAGAGATTCTTTGCTTGCTCCATATGCCCGGCCTGGTGATCATGGTCGTCCATGTTACTAGGGCATTCTATCAAAGAGATCTTTAGCTTCATCCAGCCGCTGGTTCTGGCAGTGGCCTTGGATCATGGCCGTCCACGGCGCGTGAGAGATGCCCGTTATGGGTCATGGCCGTGCTAGAAACGGGGGTTTGCTCCGGCATGGAGTGGAATACCGCCTCCGCCTCGCCGAGATTGCCACTCGGCGAGTACATCTCGATCATCGCGTTCCAGGTGATGGAATTCTTTGCAGGGATGCGATCGAAGCGCTGCACGTCCCCGGCCGCGGCTTCAGGTCGTGGTTGCGAATGTAGGCCTGGAGGGTGAGATTCCAAGAGAAGAGATTGGGATCCGAGGTAGAATCGAAGACCGATCGCGCTTCCTCCAGGCAGCCGCAGCGGCCATACATCTGGACGAGGAGATTTCGCAGGAAGACGCTGTTGTTGTGGTCGCTGTGAAGGATCTGGGCGATGGATCCGGCGGCCATTGTCGCAAGATGTGACGAGGGCGGCAAGCTCTTATGCGCATCGCATCATGGCCGTTGGATGATGGGGACGTCCGAGGTTCAAGTCCTGGCAGGTTCTAGCTTCCCGATGTTTTTCATGGCATCCCCGATCGCTCAGCTGCACTCCAAATGCCGGGCGCGCTCGTCAACGACAGAATTAACTTCCTGGACACAAGTGGAAGAGAGCAGGCTGGTTTTCCGGGCGATGGATCAAAAGGATATCATCTCCTAATGTCTTGCGCAGCTTACGTTTGGGTTGAGCGTCTCAGCGGCAGTGCAAGATCTATCCTATCCGGTAAGCTCTTATTCCGTTTGCTCTCTTCTTGTTTCTTCGTTTCCAGTTGTGAGTTTTCGATTATGTTGACACGGTTGTGATGATCGGACAAACCAGCACTTTCCAAAAGGACAGCACTATCCATACTTATGGAAGCATCGTCTACGTGAAATGCACATCTACTATACGATCTACATCTCGGACGACTGTCCTAAGTCCATCTACCGGTACAAGAAAACTCATTTATATTTTGGAGAGAACTAAACGAGTGAAAAATAGGTGGCCATAGAGACTGGAACCCTCCAAATACGCTGCGTTCTAGCTGATAGTCGTCAGCTGCTCTATACCGATGGCTTTCCAGTAAGAAACGTGTTTAACCGTGTTATATGCGCTTGCTTCAATGGAGCGTTCAACACCGCTCAAACAGGAGGCTTGGACATGCGAGTGATAGTAAGCAAGATAAGCAGGGTCTGACCTGAGGTTCTGCTCCGCCTCCACCACATCCAGCAGCTGATGATATCTCCAGAGGATCTCAAGGTCTGTCAATCTTTCTCCTCGAGTTTTAACAAGTTTGTCCTTTTACTGAGATCTTGGTTATCTCTTAAGGTTTCTAAGCAATGCACGGCGTTATTGCTTTCTACAAAGACACCACGAGAGTCCTTGTTAACACTCTTGGATTTCAAAGTTATGGAGGCACACGCTCCATACGTCTGGGTGGGATGTTTTCTCAGAAATCCTGGAGGTCTCGAGTTTTCTTGACTTTTAGTTTTAGGGAAGGTCAGGTATGGACGTCCATGAGCAAGATGAGATTGCAGTTTCGCAATGGTTTCAAGACGCATGAGCCGCAGGTCTTAGAGATCATAACCTTTCCAAAGTTTGGCATTGGACAGCGTGCGTTTCTCATCCAGACTCAAGGTATGTATGTTTGGAGCTATGGCCGTTGTGCATTTTTTATGGTTTTTATGTTTTTGATAGAGGGAAACATACTGTGGGACTGCATCTCATTTCTAGACGATGCCACAGTGGCGATAATCAAGTCACTAGGTGGATTGAGAGCGATTGCCACCTCTCACCCGCATTACTACAGCACAAACTCTCGATGGAGCGAGGCTTTTGGAGGCGTCCCGGTTTATATCCACGGATGGTATTGTCTACCTTTGTTTCTCTCTTTCATTTCGATCTCTCTGTATCCATACTTTTGCAGAGTGGTTTACCAGCATGAAAAGGTTAAGTTCTACTATGGGAGGGACTCACGCTTTTAGCCATTTTTCTGTTGCACAAATCCTCCACTGGTCTCATGGAGCTCAAGGAGAGGTGTTTTATTCACTGGAGATATCTTACAGGTATAAACTTCTGTCGTTTACAAACTTTGTTTTCGTTTTGTTTTCCTCACTCCATGTTTGATTTGTAGGTGGGGATGGACAACAAAACAGTGAGCATAATGAGATCGTATCCAAGCTATATACCACTCTCGTCCATGTTTGATTTGTAGGTGGGGATGGACAACAAAATAGTGAGCATAATGAGATCGTATCTAAACTATATACCACTCTTGTCAAGCCACACTAAAAGGATAGGCCAGGTGATCGAGCCATGGAATTTTGGGAGGCTCTACGTTGCGTTTCAGGACAGAGAGGATGACGCTGCTTAAGCATCACAATTATCGATTGACTCTCAAGTAATGAATCAGACTGAAACTCGAGATGTCTTTCTGATTATGATTTGCCATAACATTGTTTCCAAAGCTAAATTGGACATTTGTTTTTGTGAGGGAGAAAATGCCACAATCAACTTAGAGTGAGCAGTGTTACAGCATACACAGTGGATACATGGAGTTTCTTTTTACAAGATCTTTTGTCTAACCTCTAAGCTTCTCCAATGCTTGTCTTACGTCTTCAACTCTTGCAATTTCCTTAAGCAGATTGCTTATCTTCTTCAATTCATCATATTTATGCCCTTTCCTGTTTTTGAATGCCCGGATGACAATTCCATTGCTGGGCTGCAAGCAAAAGGACTCTGGCTTGTCGTCCACGATCACCGTGTGTCTGAGGTCCCGCCCTAACCTTGAAAGATCTTTCACAACCTTTCTCCCTCCCACTTCCTTGGGCGAGCATGAATCTCTGTAGAGGCGATGGGTGAAGAGATTCCCAGCTGGGTCGAGCCTATCCAATATCCTGTCCGCATAAGGCTTCACCGCTCGAGTAAAAACCACGATCTCGTATATTTGACTCATCTCATTTAGAAATGTATCCACACCCGGCCGCTTTGCGACAAGGTAGCGCTGCAATGGAAGAATCTTCCCACTGAAGAGCTTGAGGGACGCTGTGGCCTTGTGGGCATGGATTAGTGTCTCGTCCATGTCTAACACAAGCGTGGGTTTCTCCTCCAAAGTTGGCGGTAGTAGTGGAGAACTGTGTGTCACCTTTACCTTTTTGTTCTTTACTTTGGTCACCATGTCGAGCGTTGCAAAACTCCAATCGCCATATTCTCTCACCCTCTTCATCGCTCTGATAAAAAAGAAAGAAAGAACGCAAGCCCTAATTGTAAAGGATCTTTATAAATCAAATTAAATACACATTACTAAATATACCATAATTCTGGCCGTAGAAAATTTCATGGATTTTTTCTCTCAGGCTCGCTGGTTTTGGAGGTGGGAGCGTTGTCCCGCTTAAATGGCAATCCACAGTTTGAGAGGAGTATGCGCAGTACTAGTGAACTGAACTTACTGGGAACGAACCTTGACATAACTGAAGATTTGTTCGATTGCATATTCTGGAACGCAGAGAGAGTTCAGTAGCTTTGGTTCTGACCTCCAGCATGGATGTAAAGCGGATTTGAGTCACTGAAGGCGGAAGTTTGCTGGCTGAGAAAGAATCCAACAGCTCCAAATTTCCTTTAGCTCCAATCTAAACTCGCCTCAAGATGTTCGTCTTTCGCTGATATCTATTCTGACTTGAGCATTGAGAACGTGTGTTTCATTGTAGATCATTCCAACCATGGTGGTGAAACCATGGTTATCAACATTAAGGTGCTACTACTGCCACTGGAGTAAAAGTTTGTGCGAGCTTTTGTGTGAGTTCGTGCTCTTGGATGTTTATCTATGGGAGATTGCCCCCTTTGTTTGCTCAATCTATTCTCTTTTCTCTTGGCTCTCCAGAAATTATGGCTCCTACTCGAAAGCTTGTGCTTGCCTCGCTCCTCTAATGCCTGGTCATCACTGCGGCTTTTGCTGCTGCAGTTTTGTTTAGTTCTTTCTCCAAAATCTCGATAGTTCCTGTGTCCACACCAGCGACGACCATGGCGATCCATCAGCAAACTACAGTGCTCAATAGTATAACTCTCTGTGTGTTTTTCATGACGTTTTTTCTGTGGATCTTAGCCTTCCTTTACACGGCTAGGCCATGTTTTGTTCTTTGAAGTTAAGCTTGACTCGAGAAAATAAAGTGGTCAAGAAATGGATGATCTTGCTCGCCGGGTCTACTCTGCTGGATTTGTCACAGTCTTCGCTGGTTGTGAATTTCGAGTCGGAGGACACGTTCATTGACCCTGAAGGCAGCGCTCGCGGCAGTGGAAGCGTATACAATTTCTAGATTTTGAGAAGCACTGTTTTCTGCTACATTCAAGTGGCTTGCAGGTTGGTGGTGGTATGAACTTGAGGAACGCGAAGTCCTATCTCGATACTGGAGCAAGTCATGTGTTGTCACCTCGGTAAGTGTTTTATATCAGTCTTGGAATTTAACTCTTAACATTGTGTGTGTGTGAGATTAAGTTTTGCTCTGGCATTCTCTCGAGAGCGAGGAGTGCAATGCGATCGTCTGGATGGCAATGGTGCCAGCTTTTGCTCACAAGGGACTCCTCTTGGAAACTTGAGTTTGGTGCCGGGAAGAGGCTCATCGCTTCTTGGAGGTGGCCAATTCCAGAGATAGGCCGAGAGGAGCACTGTGCGCGCCATCTTGCTCTTGTAAGGCATTCGATCGTAAATAAACTTTGCATTTTCAAGATGGTTTCTAGAGGTGAGCATATGGATCATTGTTGCCCAAGAGATGAGCCATCTTTAGGAAGGAATCTAGTGCCTCGTCCAAATGCCCATTCGAGGCATATGCGCCAAGCATGGAGTTCCAGGCCACCACGTGCCTCTCAAACAAACATTTAGCCTCCTCCAAGCAGCCATGAGGTGCATAGCCGTCGATCATAGCCGTAAATGCCACCTCATTAAGATCCGGGGCATCTTCAAAGAGATTCTTTGCTTGCTCCATATGCCCGGCCTGGTGATATGGTCGTCCATGTTACTAGGGCATTCTATCAAAGAGATCTTTAGCTTCATCCAGCCGCTGGTTCTGGCAGTGGCCTTGGATCATGGCCGTCCACGGCGCGTGAGAGATGCCCGTTATGGGTCATGGCCGTGCTAGAAACGGGGGTTTGCTCCGGCATGGAGTGGAATACCGCCTCCGCCTCGCCGAGATTGCCACTCGGCGAGTACATCTCGATCATCGCGTTCCAGGTGATGGAATTCTTTGCAGGGATGCGATCGAAGAGCTGCTTGGCGCGCTGCACGTCCCCGGCCGCGGCTTCAGGTCGTGGTTGCGAATGTAGGCCTGGAGGGTGAGATTCCAAGAGAAGAGATTGGGATCCGAGGTAGAATCGAAGACCGATCGCGCTTCCTCCAGGCAGCCGCAGCGGCCATACATCTGGACGAGGAGATTTCGCAGGAAGACGCTGTTGTTGTGGTCGCTGTGAAGGATCTGGGCGATGGATCCGGCGGCCATTGTCGCAAGATGTGACGAGGGCGGCAAGCTCTTATGCGCATCGCATCATGGCCGTTGGATGATGGGGACGTCCGAGGTTCAAGTCCTGGCAGGTTCTAGCTTCCCGATGTTTTTCATGGCACGCTGCGAGAACTCATCCCCCATCGCTCAGCTGCACTCCAAATGCCGGGCGCGCTCGTCAACGACAGAATTAACTTCCTGGACACAAGTGGAAGAGAGCAGGCTGGTTTTCCGGGCGATGGATCAAAAGGATATCATCTCCTAATGTCTTGCGCAGCTTACGTTTGGGTTGAGCGTCTCAGCGGCAGTGCAAGATCTATCCTATCCGGTAAGCTCTTATTCCGTTTGCTCTCTTCTTGTTTCTTCTTTTCCAGTTGTGAGTTTTCGATTATGTTGACACGGTTGTGATGATCGGACAAGCCAGCACTTTCCAAAAGGACAGCACTATCCATACTTATGGAAACATCGTCTACATGAAATGCACATCTACTATACGATCTACATCTCGGGCGACTGTCCTAAGTCCATCTACCGGTACAAGAAAACTCATTTATATTTTGGAGAGAACTAAACGAGTGAAAAATAGGTGGCCATAGAGACTGGAACCCTCCAAATACGCTGCGTTCTAGCTGATAGTCGTCAGCTGCTCTATACCGATGGCTTTCCAGTAAGAAACGTGTTTAACCGTGTTATATGTGCTTGCTTCAATGGAGCGTCCAACACCGCTCAAACAGGAGGCTTGGACATGCGAGTGATAGTAAGCAAGATAAGCAGGGTCTGACCTGAGGTTCTGCTCCGCCTCCACCACATCCAGCAGCTGATGATATCTCCAGAGGATCTCAAGGTCTGTCAATCTTTCTCCTCGAGTTTTAACAAGTTTGTCCTTTTACTGAGATCTTGGTTATCTCTTAAGGTTTCTAAGCAATGCACGGCGTTATTGCTTTCTACAAAGACACAACGAGAGTCCTTGTTAACACTCTTGGATTTCAAAGTTATGGAGGCACACGCTCCATACGTCTGGGTGGGATGTTTTCTCAGAAATCCTGGAGGTCTCGAGTTTTCTTGACTTTTAGTTTTAGGGAAGGTCAGGTATGGACGTCCATGAGCAAGATGAGATTGCAGTTTCGCAATGGTTTCAAGACGCATGAGCCGCAGGTCTTAGAGATCATAACCTTTCCAAAGTTTGGCATTGGACAGCGTGCGTTTCTCATCCAGACTCAAGGTATGTATGTTTGGAGCTATGGCCGTTGTGCATTTTTTATGGTTTTTATGTTTTTGATAGAGGGAAACATACTGTGGGACTGCATCTCATTTCTAGACGATGCCACAGTGGCGATAATCAAGTCACTAGGTGGATTGAGAGCGATTGCCACCTCTCACCCGCATTACTACAGCACAAACTCTCGATGGAGCGAGGCTTTTGGAGGCGTCCCGGTTTATACCCGGGAATGGTATTGTCTACCTTTGTTTCTCTCTTTCATTTCGATCTCTCTGTATCCATACTTTTGCAGAGTGGTTTACCAGCACGAAAAGGTGAAGTTCTACTATGGGAGGGACTCACGCTTTTAGCCTTGCACAAATCCTCCACTGGTCTCATGGAGCTCAAGGAGAGGTGTTTTATTCACTGGAGATATCTTACAGGTATAAACTTCTGTCGTTTACAAACTTTGTTTTCGTTTTGTTTTCCTCACTCCATGTTTGATTTGTAGGTGGGGATGGACAACAAAACAGTGAGCATAATGAGATCGTACCCAAAGTATATACCACTCGTCCATGTTTGATTTGTAGGTGGGGATGGACAACAAAATAGTGAGGATAGTGAGATCGTATCTAAACTATGTACCACTCTTGTCAAGCCACACTAAAAGGATAGGCCAGGTGATCGAGCCATGGGATTTTGGGAGGCTCTACGTTGCGTTTCAGGACAGAGAGGATGACGCTGCTTAAGCATCACAATTATTGATTGACTCTCAAGTAATGAATCAGACTGAAACTCGAGATGCTTTTCTGATTATGATTTGCCATAACATTGTTTCCAAAGTTAAATTGGACATTTGTTTTTGTGAGGGAGAAAATAACTTAGAGTGAGCAGTGTTACAGCATACACAGTGGATACATGGAGTTTCTTTTTACAAGATCTTTTGTCTAACCTCTAAGCTTCTCCAATGCTTGTCTTACATCTTCAACTCTTGCAATTTCCTTAAGCAGATTGCTTATCTTCTTCAATTCATCATATTTATGCCCTTTCCTGTTTTTGAATGCCCGGATGACAATTCCATTGCTGGGCTGCAAGCAAAAGGACTCTGGCTTGTCGTCCACGATAACCGTGTGTCTGAGGTCCCGCCCTAACCTTGAAAGATCTTTCACAACCTTTCTCCCTCCCACTTCCTTGGGCGAGCATGAATCTCTGTAGAGGCGATGGGTGAAGAGATTCCCAGCTGGGTCGAGCCTATCCAATATCCTGTCCGCATAAGGCTTCACCGCTCGAGTAAAAACCACGATCTCGTATATTTGACTCATCTCATTTAGAAATGTATCCACACCTGGTCGCTTTGCGACAAGGTAGCGCTGCAATGGAAGAGTCCTCCCACTGAAGAGCTTGAGGGACGCTGTGGCCTTGTGGGCATGAATTAGTGTCTCGTCCATGTCTAACACAAGCGTGGGTTTCTCCTCCAAAGCTGGCAGTAGTAGTGGAGAACTGTGTGTCACCTTTACCTTTTTGTTCTTTACTTTGGTCACCATGTCGAGCGTTGCAAAACTCCAATCGCCATATTCTCTCGCCCTCTTCATCGCTCTGATAAAAAAGAAAGAAAGAACGCAAGCCCTAATTGTAAAGGATCTTTATAAATCAAATTAAATACACTTTACTAAATATACCATAATTCTGGCCGTAGAAAATTTCATGGATTTTTTCTCTCAGGCTCGCTGGTTTTGGAGGTGGGAGCGTTGTCCCGCTTAAATGGCAATCCACAGTTTGAGAGGAGTATGCGCAGTACTAGTGAACTGAACTTACTGGGAACGAACCTTGACATAACTGAAGATTTGTTCGATTGCATATTCTGGAACGCAGAGAGAGTTCAGTAGCTTTGGTTCTGACCTCCAGCATGGATGTAAAGCGGATTTGAGTCACTGAAGGCGGAAGTTTGCCGGCTGAGAAAGAATCCAACAGCTCCAAATTTCCTTCTCAAGATGTTCGTCTTTCGCTGATATCTATTCTGACTTGAGCATTGAGAACGTGTGTTTCATTGTAGATCATTCCAACCATGGTGGTGAAACCATGGTTATCAACGTTAAGGTGCTACTACTGCCACTGGAGTAAAAGTTTGTGCGAGCTTTTGTGTGAGTTCGTGCTCTTGGATGTTTATCTATGGGAGATTGCCCCTTTTGTTTGCTCAATCTATTCTCTTTTCTCTTGGCTCTCCAGAAATTATGGCTCCTACTCGAAAGCTTGTGCTTGCATCGCTCCTCTAATGCCTGGTCATCACTGCGGCTTTTGCTGCTGCAGTTTTGTTTAGTTCTTTCTCCAAAATCTCGATAGTTTCTGTGTCCACACCAGCGACGACCATGGCAATCCATCAGCAAACTACAGTGCTCAATAGTATAACTCTCTGTGTGTTTTCCATGGCGTTTTTTCTGTGGATCTTAGCCTTCCTTTACACGGCTAGGCCATGTTTTGTTCTTTGAAGTTAAGCTTGACTCGAGAAAATAAAGTGGTCAAGAAATGGATGATCTTGCTGGCCGGGTCTACTCTGCTGGATTTGTCACAGTCTTCGCTGGTTGTGAATTTCGAGTCGGAGGACACGTTCATTGACCGTGAAGGCAGCGCTTGCGGCAGTGGAAGCGTATACAATTTCTAGATTTTGAGAAGCACTGTTTTCTGCTACATTCAAGTGGCTTGCAGATCCGTGGTGGTATGAACTTGAGGAACGTGAAGTCCTATCTCGATACTGGGGCGAGTCATGTGTTGTCACCTCGGTAAGTGTTTTACATCAGTCTTGGAATTTAACTCTTAACATTGTGTGTGTGAGACTAAGTCTTGCTCTGGCATTCTCTCGTGAGCAAGGAGCGCGATGCAATCGTCTGGATGGCAATGGTGCCAGCTTTTGCTCACAAGGGACTCCTCTTGGAAACTTGAGTTTGGTGCCGGGAAGAGGCTCATCGCTTCTTGGAGGTGGCCAATTCCAGAGATAGGCCGAGAGGAGCACTGTGCGCGCCATCTTGCTCTTGTAAGGCATTCGATCGTAAATAAACTTTGCATTTTCAAGATGGTTTCTAGAGGTGAGCATATGGATCATTGTTGCCCAAGAGATGAGCCATCTTTAGGAAGGAATCTAGTGCCTCGTCCAAATGCCCATTCGAGGCATATGCGCCAAGCATGGAGTTCCAGGCCACCACGTGCCTCTCAAACAAACATTTAGCCTCCTCCAAGCAGCCATGAGGTGCATAGCCGTCGATCATAGCCGTAAATGCCACCTCATTAAGATCCGGGGCATCTTCAAAGAGATTCTTTGCTTGCTCCATATGCCCGGCCTGGTGATCATGGTCGTCCATGTTACTAGGGCATTCTATCAAAGAGATCTTTAGCTTCATCCAGCCGCTGGTTCTGGCAGTGGCCTTGGATCATGGCCGTCCACGGCGCGTGAGAGATGCCCGTTATGGGCCATGGCCGTGCTAGAAACGGGGGTTTGCTCCGGCATGGAGTGGAATACCGCCTCCGCCTCGCCGAGATTGCCACTCGGCGAGTACATCTCGATCATCGCGATCCAGGTGATGGAATTCTTTGCAGGGATGCGATCGAAGAGCTGCTTGGCGCGCTGCACGTCCCCGGCCGCGGCTTCAGGTCGTGGCTGCGAATGTAGGCCTGGAGGGTGAGATTCCAAGAGAAGAGATTGGGATCCGAGGTAGAATCGAAGACCGATCGCGCTTCCTCCAGGCAGCCGCAGCGGCCATACATCTGGACGAGGAGATTTCGCAGGAAGACGCTGTTGTTGTGGTCGCTGTGAAGGATCTGGGCGATGGATCCGGCGGCCATTGTCGCAAGATGTGACGAGGGCGGCAAGCTCTTATGCGCATCGCATCATGGCCGTTGGATGATGGGGACGTCCGAGGTTCAAGTCCTGGCAGGTTCTAGCTTCCCGATGTTTTTCATGGCACGCTGCGAGAACTCATCCCCCATCGCTCAGCTGCACTCCAAATGCCGGGCGCGCTCGTCAACGACAGAATTAACTTCCTGGACACAAGTGGAAGAGAGCAGGCTGGTTTTCCGGGCGATGGATCAAAAGGATATCATCTCCTAATGTCTTGCGCAGCTTACGTTTGGGTTGAGCGTCTCAGCGGCAGTGCAAGATCTATCCTATCCGGTAAGCTCTTATTCCGTTTGCTCTCTTCTTGTTTCTTCGTTTCCAGTTGTGAGTTTTCGATTATGTTGACACGGTTGTGATGATCGGACAAACCAGCACTTTCCAAAAGGACAGCACTATCCATACTTATGGAAACATCGTCTACATGAAATGCACATCTACTATACGATCTACATCTCGGACGACTGTCCTAAGTCCATCTACCGGTACAAGAAAACTCATTTATATTTTGGAGAGAACTAAACGAGTGAAAAATAGGTGGCCATAGAGACTGGAACCCTCCAAATACGCTGCGTTCTAGCTGATAGTCGTCAGCTGCTCTATACCGATGGCTTTCCAGTAAGAAACGTGTTTAACCGTGTTATATGTGCTTGCTTCAATGGAGCGTCCAACACCGCTCAAACAGGAGGCTTGGACATGCGAGTGATAGTAAGCAAGATAAGCAGGGTCTGACCTGAGGTTCTGCTCCGCCTCCACCACATCCAGCAGCTGATGATATCTCCAGAGGATCTCAAGGTCTGTCAATCTTTCTCCTCGAGTTTTAACAAGTTTGTCCTTTTACTGAGATCTTGGTTATCTCTTAAGGTTTCTAAGCAATGCACGGCGTTATTGCTTTCTACAAAGACACCACGAGAGTCCTTGTTAACACTCTTGGATTTCAAAGTTATGGAGGCACACACTCCATACGTCTGGGTGGGATGTTTTCTCAGAAATCCTGGAGGTCTCGAGTTTTCTTGACTTTTAGTTTTAGGGAAGGTCAGGTATGGACGTCCATGAGCAAGATGAGATTGCAGTTTCGCAATGGTTTCAAGAAGCATGAGCCGCAGGTCTTCGAGATCATAACCTTTTTAAAGTTTGGCATTGGACAGCGTGCGTTTCTCATCCAGACTCAAGGTATGTATGTTTGGAGCTATGGCCGTTGTGCATTTTTTATGGTTTTTATGTTTTTGATAGAGGGAAACATACTGTGGGACTGCATCTCATTTCTAGACGATGCCACAGTGGCGATAATCAAGTCACTAGGTGGATTGAGAGCGATTGCCACCTCTCACCCGCATTACTACAGCACAAACTCTCGATGGAGCGAGGCTTTTGGAGGCGTCCCGGTTTATACCCGGGAATGGTATTGTCTACCTTTGTTTCTCTCTTTCATTTCGATCTCTCTGTATCCATACTTTTGCAGAGTGGTTTACCAGCACGAAAAGGTGAAGTTCTACTATGGGAGGGACTCACGCTTTTAGCCTTGCACAAATCCTCCACTGGTCTCATGGAGCTCAAGGAGAGGTGTTTTATTCACTGGAGATATCTTACAGGTATAAACTTCTGTCGTTTACAAACTTTGTTTTCGTTTTGTTTTCCTCACTCCATGTTTGATTTGTAGGTGGGGATGGACAACAAAACAGTGAGCATAATGAGATCGTACCCAAAGTATATACCACTCGTCCATGTTTGATTTGTAGGTGGGGATGGACAACAAAATAGTGAGGATAGTGAGATCGTATCTAAACTATGTACCACTCTTGTCAAGCCACACTAAAAGGATAGGCCAGGTGATCGAGCCATGGGATTTTGGGAGGCTCTACGTTGCGTTTCAGGACAGAGAGGATGACGCTGCTTAAGCATCACAATTATTGATTGACTCTCAAGTAATGAATCAGACTGAAACTCGAGATGCTTTTCTGATTATGATTTGCCATAACATTGTTTCCAAAGTTAAATTGGACATTTGTTTTTGTGAGGGAGAAAATAACTTAGAGTGAGCAGTGTTACAGCATACACAGTGGATACATGGAGTTTCTTTTTACAAGATCTTTTGTCTAACCTCTAAGCTTCTCCAATGCTTGTCTTACATCTTCAACTCTTGCAATTTCCTTAAGCAGATTGCTTATCTTCTTCAATTCATCATATTTATGCCCTTTCCTGTTTTTGAATGCCCGGATGACAATTCCATTGCTGGGCTGCAAGCAAAAGGACTCTGGCTTGTCGTCCACGATAACCGTGTGTCTGAGGTCCCGCCCTAACCTTGAAAGATCTTTCACAACCTTTCTCCCTCCCACTTCCTTGGGCGAGCATGAATCTCTGTAGAGGCGATGGGTGAAGAGATTCCCAGCTGGGTCGAGCCTATCCAATATCCTGTCCGCATAAGGCTTCACCGCTCGAGTAAAAACCACGATCTCGTATATTTGACTCATCTCATTTAGAAATGTATCCACACCTGGTCGCTTTGCGACAAGGTAGCGCTGCAATGGAAGAGTCCTCCCACTGAAGAGCTTGAGGGACGCTGTGGCCTTGTGGGCATGAATTAGTGTCTCGTCCATGTCTAACACAAGCGTGGGTTTCTCCTCCAAAGCTGGCAGTAGTAGTGGAGAACTGTGTGTCACCTTTACCTTTTTGTTCTTTACTTTGGTCACCATGTCGAGCGTTGCAAAACTCCAATCGCCATATTCTCTCGCCCTCTTCATCGCTCTGATAAAAAAGAAAGAAAGAACGCAAGCCCTAATTGTAAAGGATCTTTATAAATCAAATTAAATACACTTTACGAAATATACCATAATTCTGGCCGTAGAAAATTTCATGGATTTTTTCTCTCAGGCTCGCTGGTTTTGGAGGTGGGAGCGTTGTCCCGCTTAAATGGCAATCCACAGTTTGAGAGGAGTATGCGCAGTACTAGTGAACTGAACTTACTGGGAACGAACCTTGACATAACTGAGGATTTGTTCGATTGCATATTCTGGAACGCAGAGAGAGTTCAGTAGCTTTGGTTCTGACCTCCAGCATGGATGTAAAGCGGATTTGAGTCACTGAAGGCGGAAGTTTGCCGGCTGAGAAAGAATCCAACAGCTCCAAATTTCCTTTAGCTCCAATCTAAACTCGCCTCAAGATGTTTGTCTTTCGCTGATATCTATTCTGACTTGAGCATTGAGAACGTGTGTTTCATTGTAGATCATTCCAACCATGGTGGTGAAACCATGGTTATCAACGTTAAGGTGCTACTACTGCCACTGGAGTAAAAGTTTGTGCAAGCTTTTGTGTGAGTTCGTGCTCTTGGATGTTTATCTATGGGAGATTGCCCCCTTTGTTTGCTCAATCTATTCTCTTTTCTCTTGGCTCTCCAGAAATTATGGCTCCTACTCGAAAGCTTGTGCTTGCATCGCTCCTCTAATGCCTGGTCATCACTGCGGCTTTTGCTGCTGCAGTTTTGTTTAGTTCTTTCTCCAAAATCTCGATAGTTTCTGTGTCCACACCAGCGACGACCATGGCGATCCATCAGCAAACTACAGTGCCCAATAGTATAACTCTCTGTGTGTTTTCCATGGCGTTTTTTCTGTGGATCTTAGCCTTCCTTTACACGGCTAGGCCATGTTTTGTTCTTTGAAGTTAAGCTTGACTCGAGAAAATAAAGTGGTCAAGAAATGGATGATCTTGCTGGCCGGATCTACTCTGCTGGATTTGTCACAGTCTTCGCTGGTTGTGAATTTCGAGTCGGAGGACACGTTCATTGACCGTGAAGGCAGCGCTTGCGGCAGTGGAAGCGTATACAATTTCTAGATTTTGAGAAGCACTGTTTTCTGCTACATTCAAGTGGCTTGTAGATCCGTGGTGGTATGAACTTGAGGAACGCGAAGTCCTATCTCGATACTGGAGCAAGTCATGTGTTGTCACCTCGGTAAGTGTTTTATATCAGTCTTGGAATTTAACTCTTAACATTGTGTGTGTGTGAGATTAAGTTTTGCTCTGGCATTCTCTCGAGAGCGAGGAGTGCAATGCGATCGTCTGGATGGCAATGGTGCCGGATTTCGCTCACAAGGGACTCCTCTTGGAAACTCGAGTTTGGTGCCCGGAAGAGGCTCATCGCTTCTTGGAGGTGGCCAATTCCAGAGATAGGCCGAGAGGAGCACTGTGCGCGCCATCTTGCTCTTGTAAGGCATTCGATCGTAAATAAACTTTGCATTTTCAAGATGGTTTCTAGAGGTGAGCATATGGATCATTGTTGCCCAAGAGATGAGCCATCTTTAGGAAGGAATCTAGTGCCTCGTCCAAATGCCCATTCGAGGCATATGTGCCAAGCATGGAGTTCCAGGCCACCACGTGCCTCTCAAACAAACATTTAGCCTCCTCCAAGCAGCCATGAGGTGCATAGCCGTCGATCATAGCCGTAAATGCCACCTCATTAAGATCCGGGGCATCTTCAAAGAGATTCTTTGCTTGCTCCATATGCCCGGCCTGGTGATCATGGTCGTCCATGTTACTAGGGCATTCTATCAAAGAGATCTTTAGCTTCATCCAGCCGCTGGTTCTGGCAGTGGCCTTGGATCATGGCCGTCCACGGCGCGTGAGAGATGCCCGTTATGGGCCATGGCCGTGCTAGAAACGGGGGTTTGCTCCGGCATGGAGTGGAATACCGCCTCGGCGAGTACATCTCGATCATCGCGATCCAGGTGATGGAATTCTTTGCAGGGATGCGATCGAAGAGCTGCTTGGCGCGCTGCACGTCCCCGGCCGCGGCTTCAGGTCGTGGCTGCGAATGTAGGCCTGGAGGGTGAGATTCCAAGAGAAGAGATTGGGATCCGAGGTAGAATCGAAGACCGATCGCGCTTCCTCCAGGCAGCCGCAGCGGCCATACATCTGGACGAGGAGATTTCGCAGGAAGACGCTGTTGTTGTGGTCGCTGTGAAGGATCTGGGCGATGGATCCGGCGGCCATTGTCGCAAGATGTGACGAGGGCGGCAAGCTCTTATGCGCATCGCATCATGGCCGTTGGATGATGGGGACGTCCGAGGTTCAAGTCCTGGCAGGTTCTAGCTTCCCGATGTTTTTCATGGCATCCCCGATCGCTCAGCTGCACTCCAAATGCCGGGCGCGCTCGTCAACGACAGAATTAACTTCCTGGACACAAGTGGAAGAGAGCAGGCTGGTTTTCCGGGCGATGGATCAAAAGGATATCATCTCCTAATGTCTTGCGCAGCTTACGTTTGGGTTGAGCGTCTCAGCGGCAGTGCAAGATCTATCCTATCCGGTAAGCTCTTATTCCGTTTGCTCTCTTCTTGTTTCTTCGTTTCCAGTTGTGAGTTTTCGATTATGTTGACACGGTTGTGATGATCGGACAAACCAGCACTTTCCAAAAGGACAGCACTATCCATACTTATGGAAACATCGTCTACATGAAATGCACATCTACTATACGATCTACATCTCGGGCGACTGTCCTAAGTCCATCTACCGGTACAAGAAAACTCATTTATATTTTGGAGAGAACTAAACGAGTGAAAAATAGGTGGCCATAGAGACTGGAACCCTCCAAATACGCTGCGTTCTAGCTGATAGTCGTCAGCTGCTCTATACCGATGGCTTTCCAGTAAGAAACGTGTTTAACCGTGTTATATGTGCTTGCTTCAATGGAGCGTCCAACACCGCTCAAACAGGAGGCTTGGACATGCGAGTGATAGTAAGCAAGATAAGCAGGGTCTGACCTGAGGTTCTGCTCCGCCTCCACCACATCCAGCAGCTGATGATATCTCCAGAGGATCTCAAGGTCTGTCAATCTTTCTCCTCGAGTTTTAACAAGTTTGTCCTTTTACTGAGATCTTGGTTATCTCTTAAGGTTTCTAAGCAATGCACGGCGTTATTGCTTTCTACAAAGACACCACGAGAATCCTTGTTAACACTCTCGGATTTCAAAGTTATGGAGGCACACGCTCCATACGTCTGGGTGGGATGTTTTCTCAGAAATCCTGGAGGTCTCGAGTTTTCTTGACTTTTAGGGAAGGTCAGGTATGGACGTCCATGAGCAAGATGAGATAGCAGTTTCGCAATGGTTTCAAGAAGCATGAGCCGCAGGTCTTCGAGATCATAACCTTTCCAAAGTTTGGAATTGGACAGCGTGCGTTTCTCATCCAGACTCAAGGTATGTATGTTTGGAGCTATGGCCGTTGTGCATTTTTTATGGTTTTTATGTTTTTGATAGAGGGAAACATACTGTGGGACTGCATCTCATTTCTAGACGATGCCACAGTGGAGATAACCAAGTCACTAGGTGGATTGAGAGCGATTGCCATTTCTCACCCGTATTACTACAGCACAAACTCTCGATGGAGCGAGGCTTTTGGAGGCGTCCCGGTTTATACCCGCGAATGGTATTGTCTACCTTTGTTTCTCTCTTTCATTTCGATCTCTCTGTATCCATACTTTTGCAGAGTGGTTTACCAGCACGAAAAGGTGAAGTTCTACTATGGGAGGGACTCACGCTTTTAGCCATTTTTCTGTTGCACAAATCCTCCACTGGTCTCATGGAGCTCAAGGAGAGGTGTTTTATTCACTGGAGATATCTTACAGGTATAAACTTCTGTCGTTTACAAACTTTGTTTTCGTTTTGTTTTCCTCACTCCATGTTTGATTTGTAGGTGGGGATGGACAACAAAACAGTGAGCATAATGAGATCGTACCCAAAGTATATACCACTCGTCCATGTTTGATTTGTAGGTGGGGATGGACAACAAAATAGTGAGCATAATGAGATCGTATCTAAACTATATACCACTCTTGTCAAGCCACACTAAAAGGATAGGCCAGGTGATCGAGCCATGGGATTTTGGGAGGCTCTACATTGCGTTTCAGGACAGAGAGGATGACGCTGCTTAAGCATCACAATTATCGATTGACTCTCAAGTAATGAATCAGACTGAAACTCGAGATGTCTTTCTGATTATGATTTGCCATAACATTGTTTCCAAAGTTAAATTGGACATTTGTTTTTGTGAGGGAGAAAATGCCACAATCAACTTAGAGTGAGCAGTGTTACAGCATACACAGTGGATACATGGAGTTTCTTTTTACAAGATCTTTTGTCTAACCTCTAAGCTTCTCCAATGCTTGTCTTACGTCTTCAACTCTTGCAATTTCCTTAAGCAGATTGCTTATCTTCTTCAATTCATCATATTTATGCCCTTTCCTGTTTTTGAATGCCCGGATGACAATTCCATTGCTGGGCTGCAAGCAAAAGGACTCTGGCTTGTCGTCCACGATCACCGTGTGTCTGAGGTCCCGCCCTAACCTTGAAAGATCTTTCACAACCTTTCTCCCTCCCACTTCCTTGGGCGAGCATGAATCTCTGTAGAGGCGATGGGTGAAGAGATTCCCAGCTAGGGTCGAGCCTATCCAATATCCTGTCCGCATAAGGCTTCACCGCTCGAGTAAAAACCACGATCTCATATATCTGACTCATCTCATTTAGAAATGTATCCACACCCGGCCGCTTTGCGACAAGGTAGCGCTGCAATGGAAGAATCTTCCCACTGAAGAGTTTGAGGGACGCTGTGGCCTTGTGGGCATGGATTAGTGTCTCGTCCATGTCTAACACAAGCGTGGGTTTTTCCTCCAAAGCTGGCGGTAGTAGTGGAGAACTGTGTGTCACCTTTACCTTTTTGTTCTTTACTTTGGTCACCATGTCGAGCGTTGCAAAACTCCAATCGCCATATTCTCTCACCCTCTTCATCGCTCTGATAAAAAAGAAAGAAAGAACGCAAGCCCTAATTGTAAAGGATCTTTATAAATCAAATTAAATACACATTACTAAATATACCATAATTCTGGCCGTAGAAAATTTCATGGATGTTTTCTCTCAGGCTCGCTGGTTTTGGAGGTGGGAGCGTTGTCCCGCTTAAATGGCAATCCACAGTTTGAGAGGAGTATGCGCAGTACTAGTGAACTGAACTTACTAGGAACGAACCTTGACATAACTGAAGATTTGTTCGATTGCATATTCTGGAACGCAGAGAGAGTTCAGTAGCTTTGGTTCTGACCTCCAGCATGGATGTAAAGCGGATTTGAGTCACTGAAGGCGGAAGTTTGCCGGCTGAGAAAGAATCCAACAGCTCCAAATTTCCTTTAGCTCCAATCTAAACTCGCCTCAAGATGTTCGTCTTTCGCTGATATCTATTCTGACTTGAGCATTGAGAACGTGTGTTTCATTGTAGATCATTCCAACCATGGTGGTGAAACCATGGTTATCAACGTTAAGGTGCTACTACTGCCACTGGAGTAAAAGTTTGTGCGAGCTTTTGTGTGAGTTCGTGCTCTTGGATGTTTATCTATGGGAGATTGCCCCCTTTGTTTGCTCAATCTATTCTCTTTTCTCTTGGCTCTCCAGAAATTATGGCTCCTACTCGAAAGCTTGTGCTTGCATCGCTCCTCTCATGCCTGGTCATCACTGCGGCTTTTGCCGCTGCAGTTTTGTTTAGTTCTTTCTCCAAAATCTCGATAGTTTCTGTGTCCACACCAGCGACGACCATGGCGATCCATCAGCAAACTACAGTGCTCAATAGTATAACTCTCTGTGTGTTTTTCATGACGTTTTTTCTGTGGATCTTAGCCTTCCTTTACACGGCTAGGCCATGTTTTGTTCTTTGAAGTTAAGCTTGACTCGAGAAAATAAAGTGGTCAAGAAATGGATGATCTTGCTCGCCGGGTCTACTCTGCTGGATTTGTCACAGTCTTCGCTGGTTGTGAATTTCGAGTCGGAGGGACACGTTCATTGACCCTGAAGGCAACGCTCGCGGCACTGGAAGCGTATACAATTTCTAGATTTTGAAAAGCGCTGTTTTCTGCTAGATTCCAGTGGCTTGCAGGTTGGTGGTCGGTATAAACTCCGGGGCACGCCGAAGTCCTATCTCGATACTGGAGCAAGTCATGTGTTGTCACCTCGGTAAGTGTTTATATCAGTCTTGGAATTTAACTCTTAACATTGTGTGTGTGTGAGATTAAGTTTTGCTCTGGCATTCTCTCGAGAGCGAGGAGTGCAATGCGATCGTCTGGATGGCAATGGTGCCAGCTTTTGCTCACAAGGGACTCCTCTTGGAAACTTGAGTTTGGTGCCGGGAAGAGGCTCATCGCTTCTTGGAGGTGGCCAATTCCAGAGATAGGCCGAGAGGAGCACTGTGCGCGCCATCTTGCTCTTGTAAGGCATTCGATCGTAAATAAACTTTGCATTTTCAAGATGGTTTCTAGAGGTGAGCATATGGATCATTGTTGCCCAAGAGATGAGCCATCTTTAGGAAGGAATCTAGTGCCTCGTCCAAATGCCCATTCGAGGCATATGTGCCAAGCATGGAGTTCCAGGCCACCACGTGCCTCTCAAACAAACATTTAGCCTCCTCCAAGCAGCCATGAGGTGCATAGCCGTCGATCATAGCCGTAAATGCCACCTCATTAAGATCCGGGGCATCTTCAAAGAGATTCTTTGCTTGCTCCATATGCCCGGCCTGGTGATATGGTCGTCCATGTTACTAGGGCATTCTATCAAAGAGATCTTTAGCTTCATCCAGCCGCTGGTTCTGGCAGTGGCCTTGGATCATGGCCGTCCACGGCGCGTGAGAGATGCCCGTTATGGGCCATGGCCGTGCTAGAAACGGGGGTTTGCTCCGGCATGGAGTGGAATACCGCCTCGGCGAGTACATCTCGATCATCGCGTTCCAGGTGATGGAATTCTTTGCAGGGATGCGATCGAAGAGCTGCTTGGCGCGCTGCACGTCCCCGGCCGCGGCTTCAGGTCGTGGTTGCGAATGTAGGCCTGGAGGGTGAGATTCCAAGAGAAGAGATTGGGATCCGAGGTAGAATCGAAGACCGATCGCGCTTCCTCCAGGCAGCCGCAGCGGCCATACATCTGGACGAGGAGATTTCGCAGGAAGACGCTGTTGTTGTGGTCGCTGTGAAGGATCTGGGCGATGGATCCGGCGGCCATTGTCGCAAGATGTGACGAGGGCGGCAAGCTCTTATGCGCATCGCATCATGGCCGTTGGATGATGGGGACGTCCGAGGTTCAAGTCCTGGCAGGTTCTAGCTTCCCGATGTTTTTCATGGCATCCCCGATCGCTCAGCTGCACTCCAAATGCCGGGCGCGCTCGTCAACGACAGAATTAACTTCCTGGACACAAGTGGAAGAGAGCAGGCTGGTTTTCCGGGCGATGGATCAAAAGGATATCATCTCCTAATGTCTTGCGCAGCTTACGTTTGGGTTGAGCGTCTCAGCGGCAGTGCAAGATCTATCCTATCCGGTAAGCTCTTATTCCGTTTGCTCTCTTCTTGTTTCTTCGTTTCCAGTTGTGAGTTTTCGATTATGTTGACACGGTTGTGATGATCGGACAAACCAGCACTTTCCAAAAGGACAGCACTATCCATACTTATGGAAGCATCGTCTACGTGAAATGCACATCTACTATACGATCTACATCTCGGACGACTGTCCTAAGTCCATCTACGGGTACAAGAAAACTCATTTATATTTTGGAGAGAACTAAACGAGTGAAAAATAGGTGGCCATAGAGACTGGAACCCTCCAAATACGCTGCGTTCTAGCTGATAGTCGTCAGCTGCTCTATACCGATGGCTTTCCAGTAAGAAACGTGTTTAACCGTGTTATATGTGCTTGCTTCAATGGAGCGTCCAACACCGCTCAAACAGGAGGCTTGGACATGCGAGTGATAGTAAGCAAGATAAGCAGGGTCTGACCTGAGGTTCTGCTCCGCCTCCACCACATCCAGCAGCTGATGATATCTCCAGAGGATCTCAAGGTCTGTCAATCTTTCTCCTCGAGTTTTAACAAGTTTGTCCTTTTACTGAGATCTTGGTTATCTCTTAAGGTTTCTAAGCAATGCACGGCGTTATTGCTTTCTACAAAGACACCACGAGAGTCCTTGTTAACACTCTTGGATTTCAAAGTTATGGAGGCACACGCTCCATACGTCTGGGTGGGATGTTTTCTCAGAAATCCTGGAGGTCTCGACTTTTCTTGACTTTTAGTTTTAGGGAAGGTCAGGTATGGACGTCCATGAGCAAGATGAGATAGCAGTTTCGCAATGGTTTCAAGAAGCATGAGCCGCAGGTCTTCGAGATCATAACCTTTTTAAAGTTTGGCATTGGACAGCGTGCGTTTCTCATCCAGACTCAAGGTATGTATGTTTGGAGCTATGGCCGTTGTGCATTTTTTATGGTTTTTATGTTTTTGATGGAGGGAAACATACTGTGGGACTGCATCTCATTTCTAGACGATGCCACAGTGGCGATAATCAAGTCACTAGGTGGATTGAGAGCGATTGCCATTTCTCACCCGTATTACTACAGCACAAACTCTCGATGGAGCGAGGCTTTTGGAGGCGTCCCGGTTTATACCCGCGAATGGTATTGTCTACCTTTGTTTCTCTCTTTCATTTCGATCTCTCTGTATCCATACTTTTGCAGAGTGGTTTACCAGCATGAAAAGGTTAAGTTCTACTATGGGAGGGACTCACGCTTTTAGCCATTTTTCTGTTGCACAAATCCTCCACTGGTCTCATGGAGCTCAAGGAGAGGTGTTTTATTCACTGGAGATATCTTACAGGTATAAACTTCTGTCGTTTACAAACTTTGTTTTCGTTTTGTTTTCCTCACTCCATGTTTGATTTGTAGGTGGGGATGGACAACAAAACAGTGAGCATAATGAGATCGTATCCAAGCTATATACCACTCTCGTCCATGTTTGATTTGTAGGTGGGGATGGACAACAAAATAGTGAGCATAATGAGATCGTATCTAAACTATATACCACTCTTGTCAAGCCACACTAAAAGGATAGGCCAGGTGATCGAGCCATGGGATTTTGGGAGGCTCTACATTGCGTTTCAGGACAGAGAGGATGACGCTGCTTAAGCATCACAATTATCGATTGACTCTCAA